ATTGATGGGGTATGATGGACTTGGGCCTTGAGGCCTAAAGCAAAGCATGCATTGGAAGCAGTGTGATTGATGGATTTTGGTGGACTTGTTTCCAGTACATGTACTTGTACATGTATGTGGGCAAATTTTGCTCTTCGTTCATAATATTTAATGTACATGATTTAGGCAGAGGAAAGTAAAGAATTGTTATAAAAAGCAATACAAATTTTAAACCAAGAAAAATTCAATCAATTTTGGATCAAATTCATTCAATTTTTATGGATGTTTTCTTAGGAGATGCTGAAGGCATTCCTCCTCCCCCCCCCCCAGCTCCATCCTTTTCCAAGGCCAAGGTGGTTAATTCTGATTGTCACTTGCGGGGAATAAATAATTTTACAAAGCAAGCGAGCTGGCCTCTATTGTGTGGCCGGTTTTGTGTCCGTTGCCATGGCAATGGGATACAGTTGTGCTAGTGGGCTCATTATTCAGAAGGTAAAATTATTGCAGGAGAGGATGGGAAGCGTTTGTGCTTTTATGAAATTTTTGCACTGTCAGATTATTTACGCCTGCATAGTTTCTGTACACTATGTGCACGGTACATTACCGATAACCTGTCAATAACTGTGTCCAAAATCCCTCGTGATTTAGAAAAGATTGACAAAAACTTTAAATTGTCTTTTGCGTTAAATCACCATTCTAAACATTTGGCATGTAAATAATGAAGGGGCTAATTTCATAAAGCACAAAAATTGGCTTAGCACTAAAAAGTCTGGCTTAGTACTGGTAAAACTAAAAGCAGGCTACCAGCCTAAACTCTTTTGATTTTCATGCTAAGCAAACAACAGCTGAATACTAATCACAAGCAATGGAAATACATCACATGGAAATTTGGTTGGTAATCCTGTTTTTGCTAAGGAAGACTTTTCATGCTAAGCAAATTTTGTGTGCTTACGGTAGCAGCTTCATGAAATTGGCCCCTGGTACTTGCACAGTGCAAATAATGCAAATACATGCACATACCAGGTACATGTATACGGTACTCGATTTCTGGTATTTAGTGTTTTATAGTATGTATTGTACATGTGCCGGTACGTACATGTATTTGGTACTCCACCTAAAAAAAATTGTTTTGTTGCATTCAGTAAATCCCAAAGAAATGTGTGGAAGTTACAATAGTTAAATTAGGCAACTACATGTACATGTACCGTACATGTACTTTACATGCACCTGTACAGGTCTGTCCTTAGATTTAATGATTTGTGCAAAAGTTGTTTGCACCATTAGATACTGCCTGAATAACATACATTGTACTACATGGGAGTAATGGACTGTGATTATGCGGGCAATTTCTGGCCCATTAACGGCGAGTATGCTCCAATGCTTTCTGATGACATTTTTCATTGTTCGTCTTAATTGTGTTGCCTCTGTTATGTGACATTGTTTTAAATGTACATGCACCATGAATTTTGAATGTCACAAATGTGTACATGTACATTTCAATGGAACATTTCTTTGTACCGGACTACCGGTACATGTACATGTCTATATGATTGATAGGTGATTAACGTGTAGTCCAGAATCGTCATATGTTTTTTGCTTGTAATTAAGCTTAATTGTGACACTACGGTACCGGGACATGTATCATATTCACACAGATGCTACTTACTTGCGCAATATACGCATGGCGTGCTGCACCATTTGCATTGTACACTCATCGTCATATATGTAGAAAATTTAAGAGATTGAAAGACCTTAATTAACAGTAACCGTTTCAGTTCTATCAAAATCCTTCCCCCATTTGGGAGGATTTTGGCGGATAAGCCACGAGAAACAAGTCCATCAAAATCCACCTATCCTGGTATACACATGTACATGTATTTACACCAATATACATGTATAACGGCAAAATATTTTGTTGGTATCGCCTGAGGTGCCATGCATCCTTCTGTCCAGCATTAGTTTCGTTGACAAATCCCTGCAAAATACACTCACAGATTCACATGTAACAGCCTCGGTCCAGTGACCCGATACCCTCAAATGTCTTGTTTGATGTGGGTCGTACAAACAGCCAAGGATCGCAAATCCCAGAAGAGTTTAATATTCACCCGGCCAAACCAATATTAACTCTGCTTGGCCAATATGTAGAGTGGGATTACACAGAAAATCAAACTGAATACACTCACATCTCGATTTACCGATACCATAATCCACTATCATGTCTTATAGGCAAAAAAAAAAATTATTCGGTCTCTGGTCAGACCAAAGTTCCAGAATTGACGCGGGGACGCGGCTTTTTTTTTTTTTTGCTTTTTTCTTTTTCTTCAAGCTTGGATTGTACAGACAAGGTGGGGTACTATTTTGCTTTTTTGGTGTCCTCATGTACATTGGTGTCCTCCATAATTTGCCTCGGTGCTCTCGATCATTTGCTTTGGTGCAATTTCCCATTCCTTGGTGCTCTTTGGTAAAAAAAAATTGAGGAGGTGCGGCAATAGAGGCGCTGTTGGAGCTACCGCGGAACATTTTGGAAAAAAAAAAGATTGACGCGCATGATTAAAATCGACGCGCGCGCTGACCAGAGACCGACTTATTAATTTTTTTGGCCTTACCTACAGTTATTAACTTTTCCACCTAATGAGCTTGTATAATGTAATTTCCATTGGCATAAAGGGAATTCTGAACTTGGGACACCCCCCCCCCCCAAAAAAAAAAAATACCATAACACAACACAACACACTGAGGATGTTAAAAAGAAAATCACACTAAAATACATAAGAAATCAGGCAGGGACTGAAAACCCAATCCACGTGTTGGCCCAGGCAGGAATCGAACCCTGACTACCCATATTATTATTCTGTTTGTATGGAGCGCAAATAATTTATATCATGCACGACGCTGTCAACCAACATTTTGCTGTCAGTCATGTGATTTGAATATCCTCGCAGTGACAATCCACAGGTGAATTTCCAAGATTGTGTCGATGATGCCTTTTTTCCATGTCTGTGTAATGCTTGGTTTTATTTTATAATAAAAACTACATTTGAAATTGTGTGGTGTTATGATTTTTTTCTGTAGAGAAAAAGCTGTTGCCATTTATGGATGTACATGTATTTGAAATGTACATGTAGAGTTGCATCCATCTATAAATGCTGAAGATGTTTAACCCTAACCACCCCCAACCCATCAAAATCCAACTGCATTTTTTGTTGGAATTTGTTGGATGCACATGTATTGGAAATACATGTAGAGTTGCATCCATTTATAAATGCTGAAGATGTTTTAACCCTAACCACCCAACCCATCAAAATCCAACTGCATTTTTTTGTTGGAATTTGTTGGATTGAGGACTACACTAGGATTTACATGGGGTCAGGCATACCACTATAATCAGAGTCCAACACAGTTTGAGTGTAGAGTTTGCCACGTGGTGGTGTTGGATTTTGCAGGAGTGAGGAAGGTTCCTAGTAAAACCACTCAAGGGGGTTGGGTTACTACCAATTTTTTTTAAAAGAAATTGTCTTTACATAAAAAACCCTAAAACAACAATTGAAAAGCGGGGGACAAAATAAATGTCAAACTCACACAAGAAACCTGTTGCACACTCTTCTTTCATGAATTCCTACGAAAATAGTGGAATAACAAAAACCTGTTTTTTTTTTCCATTTTTCTTTTTTTTTTACATTGTTTTGTTAACTTGCGTCAATCAGGCTTCATACTGGTAGTTTATTTTGATATTTTGCTGTTGGGCTTCTCCCTATCAGTTCAACCTTTAAATGTTAAAGGTTAGCACACTGTGTGCTGTCAACAGTTAGTTTTGATATTTATCCCTGGGGTTTTGTGTACCATCGCCTTTTTTTTTTTTACCTCAATTGTCTTGTCTACGCATGTCCAATGGTTTTTATCAAGTATTTGTTGATCTACTTGTGTGTGCGCTTAGGGCTTTTGATGAAAGCTGAAAAGCCTGTTGCTTGGCACAAGGGATCTTTATGAAAACAATTTTTAGTAACTCTTAGAGGCTGTTGATTTTGTAAAAATGAAACAGGATTTTTTGAAGATAACATCTTTAGATAAATGGAGGAAGTCTGATCTTCAAATCCATTTCAAATAATTACACTTTGTCATAATTATTTGAAAAGGTAAATAGAACTGGTCCAAAATATTTCTTTCAGAAGATGAAGGTATTTTAAAGGCAAAGATGTTTTTTTATGACATTCTACAAGGGAAAAACATGTTGTTTACATGTACATAGTTTGCTGAAGTTGCAGATTTGTTGAAATATGAAAATATACTTCTATTACAACCATATAAACATGTTTGGTAGTGTTAGAAGAAAGGATAATATAAAAAGCTTTACTTAAAGGTACCGGTACGGTAGATCGTTTGTGATTTCTTTCATTTGAAGCAGCAACAGTGCTCAAAATCTAAAGAAGGGTGCTTAGCAACTAACCCGATGAAGTTTTAGCTCAGTAAATGCTGTATGCCGAGAAACCAAATTCTAGGATCTCGATTTCAATTCAAAAGTTACCGAATCATGTATTGAATTGCGTCCGAAATCAGCATTGGGGACACGTTCTCATCAGCGTCCGGGACACATTCTCATTGCAGCTACGCGATGTCACACAGTGACCTGACGAATACTACCGGTAGCAACTGCACGCGAGCACCCATTCACGGCTTTGCCAAATAAAAAAACGAACAACATGTACTAACAGAAATTTCCAAAAATATGTCACTTGACGCATCTTTGCAAATTGCCTTCTTTTATTGTTTTCTTCAAAATGACAGCAAGCCAGAATGACTAATTTCACAGGGAGTTTTGTCCTATTACTATCTTTAAACCGAGTATGCTTTTCAACAATAATTTTGTCAGTTACTTTTTGGATAGCTGCAAATGATGGACTGTAGCTTTAACAGTCCAGTGTGAAATGTTGCCTATTATTTAACAGAAAAGCGACTGTGTTGATGTTTTTTTTATTAGAAAACCATTCTGAATTTATTTTTATCTTTTATTTTGTCTCATACAGTTGGCGATAAAATTCCAGCTGACATTCGTATATCCACCATCAAGTCCACCACGCTACGTGTGGATCAGGCGCTTCTAACAGGTAAGCATCAACGCCCTATCAACTACAGGTTTGTGGTGAACTAAAACCATCTGTACAGCACTTGTCCCATGCTGATGTGTTTAATGACTATCCCTTACAAAATTTATTCCACTGAGTGATATTTGTACATAAAGAAAGGGATTCTTACTATTCAATTGTATTGTCCCCTGCAATTCAATTAATAAATTCGATAAGTAAATTCGATTGAGTGATATCCGTCATATAATGAATATGTTGGACGATGGATCTTTGTTCATTTGATTAAGTGCTGTGCAGTCATACAATCTCTTGCAATTCAATAAAAGATGTTCAAACACTTGTATTAAGATTTCTCGTTGAACAGAATTGTAAATTGAAGCATGCCCTCGTAAAATTGGGTAAAAAAGGGTAAAATTGGCAGTGGGATGCCTATGTGCATTTGCATACATGTATTACAATGTATACAATGTATACAATGTATACATGTACATGTACATGTACATACACATGTACATACACATATTTGTCAGGATTTTTCCTGATTTTAAACTCTTGTCGGGATTTTTCCTGATTTGAGGAATTTTTTTTTAAAGAATCCCCTTCTGAAATCTGGAATTTCAATTGTTTTCTGCACGCTATTCAATTTCAGACTCATGGAGCTTCTTAGTAAAAAGTCTGTGGACTTAAAGGGAACAACATTTGCAAACATCAAAAAACAAAACTACCAAATGATTATGAAATGCCTTACTGGACTATTAATGACAGTCTAAAGCATCCTGTGAAATCATGGCACCTGTCATTTCCAAGTAAAGCGATATTTTTGTATCAATTTCCTATGCCGGTCGGCCGACCAGTGTTGGGAAAAAAACCCAGGTTTTTTATTCAAATACTGCTCCCAAGTTACCAAATTTAGTTAGTCTGCATTTTGTTCCCAATCAATTACACACCAATGAACGGGTACAAGCTTGCAGCTAGACTGCTTCCCTGACCTTACAATTCCCAGACTTCTATAAATTACTCCGTTTCATCATAAAGTCAGGGAACCAGACTACAGGAACATGATTGTTTGTCTTGGTTTTTCAAGCATCTACGAACACAAAACTTCAAACAACTCAGTGTACCGTAACAATATTTGCTATAAAGTACAAGTGTACTAACCCCCCAAATCCATTCATTTCTGAAATTTACAGCAAAAGCAAAAACCCTTTAAAAGATGAAAACTTTGTTTAAAAAACTTATACCGGAAACTACATTGTACATGTTGGCCTCTACCAACATTATTAACCTTTGCAATTTTATATTTAATAATAATACTGCATTAAGCTTTTCAACATCAGATGCGCAAATCCATCAACAAGTCTTCCTGTCACCAGTTGCACTTTTTGGAAAGTTCGCATGCCCCTACACTGGCACGGACGATTTGTTGCCAGTATTGACGCTGTGATTGTCGTGAAGATTTACCGAGGCTATAGCAAAGCAGCAAGAATCGGTCATGAAGCACTGACATGCCGAACGTGATCTCTAGCTCATAGTGGGCGTTGATCGCTTTGGGGGGGGGGTGGTGGTTAGGGGATGGGAGAGGAGATGTCTTCAATAATTGGGAGGCTTGCTCACTTCCATATCAATTTTTTAAGTCTGCCGAGACGCGCCTCTTCATCCGTGAGGAATGTAGCCATTGCTCGAAGAAAAGTCCCTCAGCTCATACCCCAACTGTCCCCTGGATGCTACAGGCATGCAACTTTTCCTCGGATTTGCTGATTTCCTCGTTTTTTACTTCTCATGAATGCCATTACAAATTGAACAACACTGTACAAAGTCTTGTGTGGGTTGGAGTTTCCTCGTTTTTTGTCTAAATCCCCAGTTGCATGCCTGATGCTAGCCAAGTAGCTTTTTCTTAAATGGTTCAAAATGTGCTTACTGGACTCGTCAACATGGTTGGTTTAAAGGTAAACCAGCACACTTTTTTTCTAGTTACTCATTGAGATCTGTGTTCACCCAATTAATCAACGGTGCAATATTAGGGCCATTCTTCGGTCACTGTGTGACATAAAATTGGGCTTGTCTGATTTTTGAAGCTTTACCCCTTGTTAACTACATCTGACATATTACGTTCACTGATTCATCAGGTTAGTACTTTTTACTCCCTACCTGTACCTCAGAGTATAGTTTCTACTTTCGCAAATTATGTCAAAATATTAGGAGAGGTCATCAAAGTCTTCGTTTGTTTATGGTGTAAATCGAGGACACACACGTGCATCATCATCGGTGAATCGATGACAGGAACCAAATCGAGGACTACATGTACCTCAATTCGAAAATATGTACAAAACCAATGAGAGCTGTTGCGAAAAAGTTTAGGTACAAACAAAGGAAAAGGGAAGAGGAACAAAAGAAAATCCTCAAGTTACACCATAAACAGACGTGCTAGGTCACGTGTGTGACATCAGACGTAAAAATTATTGGGCCCATATCGGAAATTCACACTTTCTCAAAAGTTCCAAGTACACGCACACCCATACTAATTTTGGAGTAAGACTAGTCTTTTGTGATTTACAGAATGCATAAATCAATGTACACCCTCTGCTTTAGTTTTACTAAAAGAGAATTGATCTGTGGTCACGTGTGTGACAATTTGATCGGTCATGAGATTTTGTTATTAAATTTATGCTAATTTATGCACGGAAAGATCAACTTATGAAACATCTTAAGAAATTTGCATCATTACTTACTAGCAACACTCTAGTGAACAATAATCATTGGACTATTACATCACATAAAAAATTAGTTTTTTTCTGAACAATTTATTTAGTTTCAATATCTGTAGAATCGCCAATTAACAATTTGTTTTTTACAAATGAAATACCCCCTGCCAAAAATTCCCCTTTCCCCAAATATGTTCAAAGGGGGAAAAATAACGAAGGATTTGATCTTTCCAACATGGCCCCTGCATGCACCTTTGAGGTTGTTTACCCTGGAACATCCCTATCCATTGACTGTTGACGTAACATTTCGTCCCCTCTACGCCCTAATGGATTACCCACGGTCTCGTCTCAGCTTCAGGTTTCAGGTTCGTCGACCGACTTCATAAAAAGTACGGGTCGATGCGAATTTGAAAAAAAAAACACCACCCCAGCCTGGCTGTTCACGTGTGCTTTAGTTAATCACACGCTGTCCCCGAGATACAATATCAAGGCTCTGAGGTTTGATGTAGCCTTTTCCAAGAACGATAGGGTATTTGTACCTTCAATAACCAGGAAAGTGACAAACATTAAATCAAAATAACATTCCTTGATCTTTACCGATACCGCTTGACACTCAGTTATGTGTAATGCAATATATCCAACATTTTTGTCAAATAATAAGATGATTATTATATTTTTAAATTCGGGGGGGGGGGGGGGGGGGGGGGGGGGGGGCCGGGGGGGGGCATTTCTTCCACCAATCATTGTCATTTCAAGTATTGTTTTTTTTTTATGTGACAATACTTGGCAAAGGGCAAACTGAACCCTAACCACCAAAACCCTTCAAAATCCAACCGCATGTTTTGTTGGAATCTGTTGGAGTGAGTACTGCACTAGTAGTAACTGATTGTGCTTGACATGGGGTCAAGCATACCACCATAATCAGAGTCCAACAGTTTGGGTGTAGAGTTTACCTCATGATGTTGGATTCTGCAAGAGTGAGGAAGGTTCCAGTAGTCAAATCAATCTTGATCACTTTTCTATGCAATCAGACGATCAATTATTAATTTATTAATGCATTCATCAATCTTGCTTAATATTTTTGAGGTACCTGAACAACAATTTATCAGTTGGCCTATAAATGGATTAGTTAACCAGTTGATCATTGATCAATTCATCAATTCATCAATTCATCAATGCCAGCCCACAAGACTTTCCAACCAAGAACAACATCCCCCAGAATGCAACATTGTGCAGTTATATGACGTTCAAATCAATACCAGTCCGACCTGATGAATAACTTAAAATTTGTGATTAAGGCCAAAAAAAAAAAAATTCGGTCTCTGGTCAGACCAAAGTTCCGGAATTGACGCGGGGTCACAGATTTTTTTTTTTCTTCTTTAAGCTTGGATTGTACAGACAAGGTGGGGTACTATTTTGCTTTTTTGGTGTCGTCATTTACATTGGTGTCCTCCATAATTTGCCTTGGTGCTCTCGATAATTTGCCTTGGTGCAATTTCCAAATCCTTGGTGCTCTTTGGTAAAAAAAAATTGAGGAGGTGCGGCAATAGAGGGCGCTGTTGGAGCTACCGTGGAACATTTTGGAAAAAAAAGAAGATTGACGCGCATGATTAAAATCAACGCGCGCGCTGACCAGAGACCGACTTATTATTTTGTTTGGCCTAAACATACCGGTACTCCAATGTTTAAGCCACATTTACAAAAAAAACTGAAAGTGAGGCTTTAGTGAATAAATACGTAGTCTGGCACCATCCCATTCAATATGAAATACATTCAGCATGTTCAGGGAACACAACAAAAATGGCCAACTTGTGCATTTAAGGCCCATACATGTACATGTACATGTAGATGATGGGCTTGGCTGTTTACAATATTGAAAATCTATCAAAATCAGTCTGATTGTTTGATTTCTGCAGTTGGTTTAAAGTACTTAAAAAACCATTTACACCCTTTCAAATAAAACGTACTAATTTCACCTTCAGTACCGGTACATGTACACTGTACAAATCAGATTCAAAATATGCAAGCGAGAAATGTGATTTCAAACAAATTACTGTCCGACTGTTCACATATTTACAAATACTTTTCTTGCAATTATTTTTTCTCCGAACCATCCTCAGTCCATCACTCTGATAATGATAACCACTTGTGTCAGGGGCTAGAATGAATGAACTCACTGTATGGTGTGTCTGCCCAGCAACCGGGCTGATATTTAATTCACTCAGACTCGGTCCGTGCTCTGTGCTGGGACGCTGCGCAGTCTGGTGGAATTCCATCTTAAGGGCCGAGATGTTTAATCAAATTTGCTACGGAGTGTTTTCTTAAGAGATGTACCGGTACATGTACACTTGGGCCAGCGTTGATGCCACAAACGATAAGATCGATTTGACAAGGAAATGAGTGCTCAAAATAATTTCATTTCAGACGGTTTATTTAATTCATTGTGTAAACTGTCATGTTCCTTATTTTTTTTTCAGAGTATGGTACAGGTACAGTTCATCTCTTTATTGAATTTGTGATCCTGTCCGCAAATGTTTGCATACAGTTTTGCATTGATCCTTCCTGGATCATTACAGCCCTGAATCTGACAATTTCAGTATTTTTTTTTACTCGCCATGAGGAAGGTTGTCTGAGTATCACCTGTTCTCCACGGAGCCCTATCTCCGGTCAAACATCTAGGAATGCAAATTTATATGACGTCGTGCGCCAGCCAATCAGAGTTGACTTTACTAGTTCGTGATGTCATTTCAATCCTAAATCAGGACTAACACTATGATTGGTCGATTCGGATGCAGTGTTTTTGAAATACTACAACTGTCGGGCGCGCACAGATCTACGAAACCTAGACACGACAGTGATTGGCCGGCCCTATTATTGTCGGCATAACGCGTAACATATCGTTACAGAGCGCGTGACTGCAGACGTTTTTTGCTCAATTCACAGCATTTCTAGGTTTTATTGATAGATATGGATCATGACAAGACCCAATTCTAGAAAGTGCCCGCTGATTGGTCAAAATCTAGAGGTCAAGATGCGGTTGTCTTGCATAATTTATCAGCAAATTGGCTCACATTGCTTTGCAAGGGTCTATTATATGTACATGTAGTCTATGAGGAAAGGGGAAAGAGCATACAATAACGTACCGGTACATGTACATGTACATGTTTGTGTGTATTGGCTCAAACTTCACAGACTTGTTTCATTGAGTTAAATTTAAGCATTTTTTTTTTTAAATCAAACAAATCCCTGAATTTTGGAACTTGTTGCAGCAATTCTTTATGCACACGTAGAATCACTTTCATTGTTTCACTGAAATTCCTCAAAGATACATTGTACATGTACAGTCGAGTCTCGTTAATACAAACTCGTTCAGACCTAGCCAAATTGTTTGTTATATCAGAATTTTGTATTAAGAGGAACATCAGTCCCATTCATTGTGCACATAAATGCGCAGTCGGGACTAAGGCTTTATGTTTGTTATAACCAGAATTTTGTATTAACAGAGTTTGTACTAACGAGATTCGACTGTACTGTGAAGGAATAACAGTCAGGCAGTGTATATAATATATATACATGTACATGTACATGTATGTTGGTACGGTATTTTGCTGCCCTGTGGCAATCTATCAAGCTACAACTGTACATGTACCGTATCTTCAAGGCAGGCTTGTAAGGAGCCTTAAATTGTCAAGCAAGTTACATCGGTTGGATCACATTCATAAAATTCAATTTGAAAATGACGTTACGCAGTGACAGTTGGTGTGTATCAGACATATCAAATGATGCAGCGTGCCAAGGGGAAGAATGCAGAATGTGATGAGTTTTTGTACCTGGAGGCGCTGGAAACAATGTGACCTCATCTGGCAAAATGAGTACAAAATGGCCAGAGCTACATGTACAGGCCTGTAAAATATCTTGCACAATGGAAATCGATAGAAACTGTCAATTTGTACTTTGTACCCACGCTGTGTCAAAGTGGAGTGCCGAGTATGCAAATGAAAAACTAATAAGTGGGGAAAATGTCCTTCAGAGTCGTTTTGTGAAACTCATGTTGTGCAAAAAGATCAATTCGCTCTTTTCACACTTCCACCATGGGCATGCAGAGCCTCGATCTGGCAACTTTACACAATAAATATAGCCGGTTCAGTGATTCCCGTGTCGGGGTTCAGATCACTGAACCGGCTGTTTTTATTGTGTAAAGTTGCCAGATCGAGGCTCTGCATGCCCAATGGTGGAGTGTGAAAAGAGCGAATTACATTCGTTTCAGTCTGGAGTTCCTCATTTGTGGCAAATTAAATTTATTCTAAAATTATAATGAATTTGATATTTATAACAAGTACAAAATGATGTAGATGCGACTATGTCAAAAATTGAATGTTTAACAATTGTTGACGGCTGTGATGTGGGATGTGACATTTTTAACACCCGAGGGGCGCAAAGCACCCGAGGTGAAGCCCAGGGTGTTATGCGCCCTGAAGGTGGTTAAAAACGGCATATCCCACATCACGGCAGCCAACAATTGTTTTGTTATATCGTGCCAACAACTCAGAAAATAAGTGGTTGTAACTTACTGTCTGAGAAATAAATTAACTCACTGCGATGTAACCTTTGATAGCTGAAGGCTTTGATGTTCTGCTGGACATGAGACTTAGCGTTTGACGTTGTAGCTCTCATTGGGCAAAGCTAGCGCTCCGGCAGGTTCCACACACGCGCGCAATGCGCGCAATGAATGCAGTGCGATACCACCCTCAGTGTGTGACATGCATTTTTAGTGTCCAGACACGTGGCCGTCCTAGACCGATGGAAATACAGTATCCAAGCTCACGATATAACAGTGTCATTTGTTCCCAAATCATCTAGTCATTGAAAAGTTAACCCTAACCCCCTAGGCCCTTGTTGCTTACAACTATCCTCAATTCTCCAAAATTTTGCAACTCCGCCTAAATTTTTCAAAATTGTCAGACAGTCCTGCCTCAAAATGCCTTTATCCTCAATCCTCCAAAATCCTCCTCATCCCAAAATTTTGCACTCGTGTTTAAATGAAGGATAACCAACGCCAAATCCTTCAAAATCATCAGACAGTCCTGCCTCAAAATGCATTCATCCTCAATCCTCCAAAATCCTCTTGTGCTTCAATCACCATTCATCCTCAATCCTCCAAAATCCTCATGTGCTTCAATCACCATTCATCCTCAATCCTCCAGAATCCTCATTTGATTCCATCACCATTCATCCTCAATCCTCTAGAATCCTCCAAAACCGCCAGGAGGATTTTGGAGGAGTGAGGTGGGTTAGGGGTAATGCCTGTCTAAGGTTTAACCTTAGTCCCTTCTCATTCTTTTTGTTTTGGTGCAACTCTTGAAAGCCAGTCTCAAACAGGTGTAACAACACAATACACAGGCCAAGTCTGAATGACATGGCTAGACCGCTACGACTTGCAATTACACACTAGTCTATGGGAAGCGGCTGCCGATATGGCTTGCAATTACACACAAGTCTATGCGAAGTGGCTGTAGCCGCTTCTCATAGACTCATGTGTAATTTCCTGTCGAAGCCAAGTAAATTCAGATGCGGATATACTCTCATGCAGAATCTCGTCATTAGTCTGGTCCACCCGTCTCTGACAATTTGTTACCTTTTCTCTTGCTTACATTTATAGGTGAGAGTGTGAGTGTAATGAAGCACACGGATACCATCCCTGACACTAGAGCCGTCAACCAAGACAAGAAGAACTTGCTCTTCTCGGTAAGTTTCCTGCATCTCAGTGGTTTTGGAGTTGAGTCACTTGTCTGTGTTCTTAGTACAGCTGGCACTAAAAGAAACTAAGTAGTTTTTACAATCATCCTTGTCTGGACATTTCTCGGTGAACAAAATATCTGAAATACATGTTTTTTTCATGAAAACTTTCCAGTTCAATTTAGATGAAACAGTACCTCACTTGGGAACACTGTGTAAGAAATGACGAGAGCGCAAGCGCTGAAGTTGCACTTGGCGAGATTTTCAATGGGCATTGTAACACACAATTTAATGTACCCACTCTTGTTTTACTGTACTTTTGAGGACAATGCTTTGTGTTTCCCTTTGTCCCTGTAATATAACACTCTCCCATAGACTAAGCACACAAACTTACTACAAGAGGACCATTTCCAACAAAAGACCCAACTCCTGAGGAGTGAAAGGATCTGTAGTTCTCCCTTTGTGTGTTGGTCCTCGGGGGTTATGTACCGGTACATGTACCTGGTAGAACACGTACAATGATGCAAGCCCTGTGTTGTATGATGCACATATAGATATTGGTTTTAAATTGGACTCTCGACTCTCGACTCTTGTCTCATTTCGTCTCATTTTGTCTCCTTCCTTCTTGTCCCCAGGGTACAAACATCGCATCGGGAAAATGTGTTGGCATTGTCGTTGGCACCGGCCTGAACACAGAGATAGGTAAGTGGACTCATCAAAAAGAAAGAAGAAAAAAAATAAGTTGCTTTTCTTCCGTTTGCCTTGGGTGCTTGGGAGTATCCTAGGAGCGAGGCAAGCAGGCACTTGTCTTTATGCAAACATGAGCATGCGTTATCCAACTATCATGTCCACTTGTAATTGCAAATACATGTACATGTATGTCCAGGCTCCTTCAGAGGCTTTCGCCTGGGAGTCATTTATCTCTATTGAAATTTGATTCACATTTGGGGATGGATGATTGCATGATTTCTGTACGTTGTATGAGGATGGGGTTGGGATTGTTGTTATACTCTGAAATATATACACTGAAAACATGATTTCAGTAATATTCACAAAAAATGTCTACATAGTAGTGAAAATTGAATGAATCTTAGAAATGGAATATTACGTTTTGTAAAATGATTCTGCACTGATGGCAACCATCGCATTTCGGAAACATTGCGTGAAGTTACTCAGAATGATATATGTATACATAATACATTTACCACCGGATGACGTGTATACACGCAAAGGTTTTGCGGTATTTGGAACGGATGATGGATAAACACGCAGAGAGCAAGGCCGGAAATATCTGTCAGCGACCCGCTCGCAGCGAGCGAGGCCGGAAATATGAGTGTGCTGCCTGAGGGTGATGGCTTCAACCCGCCTAGCTTGAGGTCGAGTGAAAAGTAATCCTGCGCCTCGTTCCGTTCTTGTCAAAATAATCCCGGCGCGAACTGGTTAAGCATACGCAGCTAGCCACATGTAGGGCCAGTTGATCACTCTGTGCTTTCTAAAATACCTGGCAGATATTGTTGAAAATTATTTTTTTTGGCACTTGGAGCAAGTTTATATCCTTAAGCTCTTGAAAAAATATCTTTTTACATCAAACTGGTTGCCTCCCAACCATGCTAAAACATAAAGTGGCTCTGTCCAATTAGTATGGAGAGCCATGCTGCATCAAACTTCTGCATTGAGCATTGCTTCTCTCAGTTTCCTCCTCTATCATTTGATTGAGGAGGTCCTCCTGAGCGTCTCAACCATCCTTTGAGAAATGGGAGGATGAGTTTCAAGAATGATTGATGATTCTTAAAGGAAAACAGAAGAGGCTTGGGTAATAAAACTCTGCGGGTCGTGGGGAAGCTTCTTGCTATACCTTCCTTAGGTTCACTGGTCTTTGGAGGGAGGTGGACTCTGGACTCTAAAGTGCAGGATACTGGTTGGTTTGTACGCATGTTCACGCTTGCAACATGGTACGTTCAGGAAGCTTTTGTAATTGGCAAAGGAAGATGGTTAATAAGTCATCTTTTAAGAATTGCGTTAGAGATATTGTGCGTGTTCAGTGTCAACTTTCAGATGAATTTTGTGAAGTTTTTTAGGATGCGCAAATTGGTTAAGTCTTGGGTTCAAGTGCAAAACCCCCCCAAAACAAGAAAAACAACATAAATCTGACCCTGTGGTTGGGGTCGAAGAAGAGGAAAAAGCTGAGGAGAACATCGACTTGGGATTCGTCTACTCCAACAAGTGGATCGTCGAAATCACCCAGGCAACTAATTTTCAAGTGTTTGTTGAAAGGCAACAATTGAAATTCTTTGCCCATGTCTGTCTAATGCCGAACTCTGTGACGCAAAAAAATCCTCACTTTCGCTGTACTGAAAAAGTGCAAAGGGAAACAAGGCAGAGACGTTGAAACCCTGCGCACAGTTGTGGCAAAAACGCAGTGTGAATACAAATCCGAGCAACAGTTTCTGCGCGAATGTTTCGACCGTTGCTACTAATCTTTGGACAATTCATGGACTTACGACTCGAGTCTATGCCAAATTCGGAAGGAACTTTCTTATGGAATTTTCTAAACATATGTGTGTAGGTCCAAGGAAATGTTTGAATATTTGATTTGAGAGCAGCGTCGTCTCAAAATGGCTGGCATCATAAACTGTTAGAGCTAACGAAGGCTTCTTTGGAGTTGTTGTCAACTTTTCCTGAAATCTGATTGCATATGAATGACGTCCATCTCCCAGCTACATAAAAGTCATCTTTAATACATATGTTATCTGGGACCTTCAATTAACACAACTCTCTTGTTTCGTCCTGACTCCGGGTATATCATTTCCGTGTCTGTTTTCCTGGAGAAGTGACGCAAGTCGTACTTGTCACCTGCCTCTGACAAAAAAAAAGAGATGAATCTGGAGTTCCTTGATAAGCCTCCTAATGGATGCGGAGGATAAAACAAACACTGATGAGGCTGATAAGTGCAGGGTAGCTGAGCTTGAAATCTGATGCAGTTGATAGATTTCCTCGTGAAACTTTGACCTTACTGATGGCTTGAAGGATGCGTGCATGTACCGGTACATTAGATAGTCCACGGTTACAAATGGAGACAAAAGTTCCTTGATTGGATCCAGGATCTGATGTGGAAGTTTTAACCTTCTAAGGACACTGCCCAGCCCCTGGTGGTCAGTGACCTAAGCACAAAAATCCACTAAGCACAGCAGATATTGGTCAAGTAAAAACATAACCAGCCAAAGTGTCATGCGAAATATGTCTCTTGTGCGTTCTGGTTCTCGACTGATTTTTGCTGACGTTGACCTTTGAACCTTCCCAGGACGTTACCCTTGACTTGAGGGTCAGTGAACCAAGGCAAGTGTCCTGGAGCTGCTAAGCACAGAAGATGTTCTCAGCACAGCACGTTTGCTAAGCATAAGCAGGCTACCAGTATTGAAAAAGCATGTATAGTGGAATCTGGCGACTTTTATTGCTCTGGTGTCATTCTCACGGGCCTGCTGCACGCATTCTTAAAGCCGAGGTGTATTTGGTCGAAGGAGCCCGAAGTGCGTGCTTACGGCGCGAGTGCAACTCACGCGAGCCTGTCGCCACCGCAGAAAATGGCTGCCGCCAGATTTGTCTACATGTACCGGTATATTCAATACCATCTTTTGATGAATAAATGCTGCAGACATGTTGGAAGATTGGCAACAATAGACTGGATAGCTCAGCTCATTGACTGCCACTTGGAAATTGCAACAAAAATTGATTCAGAGTGAACATATATAGATCATTCCCTTTATTGTTTATGAACTTTGAGGACAGAACCTGTGAGGGAAATTTAACGTGGACAAAGATATTTCTATCCTTTTTTAACTTCTTGCTTGAAGCCCAGTAGCTCTATCCCCGAATTGCTTAAGTCTACATTGTACCATCTATCAGTCGTCAAAACCTTACAAACTGGTCCAGCTGTCTTGTGGATTCCGTCATCCTTGCCCTTCAAACCCCACGGTTTGCATGCCGTGCGGCCTCAGAACCTCTCATCAGCTGTTGCCAATGTTAAAAGACTGCTACATTACTGCCATCACGTTACGTCACTCAAGATGGCGGCTTGGTCTTATCAGTATGCCCCTAGAGTCATTAATCCCCGGCCAGCTAACGCCTCCTGGTATGATTTGGCCTCTGAGGCTGGGTTAGTTGAATCGATCGTTGGCGGGAATTCTGACGGCCGGTCGGCTGATTGGGTGTTGTATAATCACCGCAGTAGCTGGTCTGTCTGCGTATTGACAACTGTCGCAATCAAGGGTGCCGATGAGCTACGCATGCAAGGGCCTCAACTCCTGTCACGAGGATCTTGATTTAAGAGGAGTTTGATTGAAAGCGACCGTTTTCTCGCATTGAATTATGATTTGTGATACGGAGGAACTGTCGCTAACTCTTGGGTTATTTGTAGGGCTCAATTTTAGGAAAGTGCTTAACAAATTTGCGCTGGGTTGAATGCATCTGGTGTTTTTACCAATAAGCTTTGGAAACGGAGAATTTATTTTGAGGGGATTGAAATCACCTAAACAAATTTGATAAACGATCCTGAAAAAAAGACATTGATGTTTTGTTTGTTTGCAAAATCACAGAACTTAATTCTTGTTGGGAACATGTACATGTATGTGATGCGACCAGGCTAAATGAGTCGTTTGTCAGTAATTTTCATTTGGAGATCTGCATGTACAGGCCAAAATAGGACCACTTCATCACATCACTTCATCACCTCTCTTGGTGTTCCGACTTCCATAATTTTTGAACTAAAGATGGTATCAGCATACGGTTTTCACAGCATTAATGCTGACATTGTGCTCTTTTGAAATCTGTAAAAACAAAAAATGACCATGGTCGACAAACGACTAATTTACCGGTAGCTTGATCACATCACGTAGGCCTATGTTTCTTTTTTGTATGAAGCTTGCAAAAAATGTAAATTTACACAAAAATCTCTCTTTTAGGTTATTAAAAAACAGTGTTTAAAAAGGCTTGACTATTGGCCCATCAGTTTGAAATCAGACATTGCTGTCTTCCCTGACAAGCAATTGATCTGATGATGTGACAGTCTGGATTACAGAATCGTTGGATATTGACGTATTGATTCAAACATAAATGACATTGTACTATGTAGGTCAAGTTTTAAGTGTATTGACTGTTTGATTAGAAACGTGAATGTATTATCGATCAGCTTCCCTAAACCTGTAAATGATTTACATGTACTATAACAACTGAACATAAAACTCAGTATGGAAACAACTGATTGCTTCTGAAAATCTTTAAACTACATGTACATGTAGGAAAGACAATTCACAATCACACATGTCGGAATTTCAATGATAAGTTATTTCAGCTTTCATTTATGAGGTCGTCGTCATATTGTTGGCTTCATTAAAAAAAAAAGCCAGGTGTGCACGTTGTACTTGCACGTGTACAAAAAGCCTGTAGCGTTTCACATCAGAAATTTAAATATGTAATTGTAAGAGGGAGAGAAACATACAGAGAATCTCTTTAACGTACATTGAAATCTGTCTGTACGTGATGATATGCAGCATTCTCTGTCCTCCCTACCCATCCTTGCTGCATCTGCCTTACATTGTCAACACGCTCAATTATACTCCCTCCCCCCTCGTATTTATTTGAAGTAGAGACCAGACTGGCAGCAATTATTCTGGGAATACCACGGCCATGGTCAATAACTCTCAAGGGTCAATTAAACAACGCTGGGCCCAATTTCCGGGCTGTGCTGTCCAGAGTATTCTACGCTTATGATTACCTTTCTTTGCCCACAACGTTAATATATAGAAATCGACCCAGCGGATGAGCACAGAATGCTTAGTACATATGCTTACAAGATGCCAACAAGTAAAAGTATACGCTTACCATGCTTTTTGGGATCAAATCATTGTTGAGTTTTTTTTGGACAAACTGCTGCATTAAAGTCAGGAATGATTCCTTGTCACCTTTGTCAGGCGCGGATCCAGGATTTCTTTAGACGGGGGGCACATCTTAGAGCATTTGTTCTGAGGACTAATGCGAGAGCGGAGCGCGAAGCCCTTACGGCGTGGGGTCCGGGGCCCGCTTAAGGGCCCCGGGAAATTTTTGATTCTAGATGCTCTGTGATGCAATCTGAGGCGATTCCTGGCCCCTTTCCCCCTGAATTATTTGTGCAAAAGTTGATAAACTTGTAAGGATTTTTTTACAATATACTCTTGTTTTTACAAATTTAAAGGTACTGTGTACTTCAAAGTTGCAAACCATGTATTTTTGTCTTCATAATTTGTTGCATTGTATTTAAAAAAAAGAAGAAGAGGAATTGTATTGACTTAGATTGTAAACTGTTGCAACGGGCGATGCGCTGAGGCATTAGCTCCAAGGACTAATGCGAACGTGAAGCAGTGTCTTACGGCGTGGGGTTCGGGGCCCACTGAAGGGCCCCGGGAAATTTTTGATTCTATAGATGTTCTGTGGTGCAAACTGAGGCGATTCCTGGCCCCATTTCATCAAAATGTTGTGAAGATTATTAGGATTTTTTTTTCATTATCGCTTCGGTTTGCGGTAACACCATGTGTTTTTTTTAAATTTTTTGTTCATTGGTTTGAAATTGTACTCTTGTATTTCTTAATACAAGCCTAGTTAAGTTTCTTCTGTTCTTCACTTGATAACCAAGTATTTTCGACTGCATAATCAATTTCTTGCATTTAATTTTTGTAAAGGAATTGGATAGTCTTAGATTGTAAACTGTTTTAAGGATGCATCGGGAGATCTGCCCCGAGGACTAATAATGCAGAGCGCAATATCTGTCGGCGTGGGGTCTGGGGCCCGCTTAAGGGCCCCGGGAAAATTTTTGATAATTGGATGCTCTGTGGTGCAATCTGAGGCGATATCTGGCCCCTCTTTCCCTGAGTTATTTGAGCAAAATGTTTTAAGTTAAATAAGGATTTTTTTCATTGGTTTAATATACATGTATACTCTTGCTTTAACAAGCCTTTTAAGTTTCTTCTGTTTTTCACTTGATAACCATTTTCGTTTGCATAATTGTTTTCGTGCATTTTTGAAACGGAATTGTATAGACTTAGTTTGTAAACTTTTGCAAGGATGCTTTCAGATGTTTTGTATGTCAAGTATAAATTTTCAGTTTATCAATAAGATAAGATTTTCTACAGACATTTTTTACTGAAACGGACATGTTTTGGACTCCTTGGAAGTGCGTGGAAGAAATGCTGGCAAATTGTTATACGAAAACACACCCCTTGACCAATAGTGTGGTCCAAAGAGCAGCGTTCAACCACGGATCTGATCCGTGGTTCAACGTGTATGTCGCGCTCATCGCGCTAAACACAGCACATCGGCCGTCACACGTGCGTGTTTTTCGTACCGGTGCGTACGCTCATATGAATCGCATTTCATAATCCATATAGGCCTACCATGCAGGGTTATGTATGGATACGTACGGTGGGATCGCGGTTTACTTCGAAGCTACTCGAGTTCCCTGTGTCATACGGCCACTACACAATGTTTGCAGGCCGCTGATGTTTAATATCGGCGCCGGCATTTTTGTTAGAAGGTTGCCCTCCTCCTTCCCTCCATTTCTCTCACCTCCACCTCTTTTTCCCTCCTGTTTTATTCATTTTTTTTTTTTGTGGACTCAATTTGACGGGGGGCACGTGCCCCCGCGGCCCACCCCTGGATCCGCGCCTGTTTGTCAAAGTTGAATTTTATTGTTTGATGTTTTGACATGGTAAATTTTTCTAAATATGCAGTACATGTACGTGTACACACGTGCATTTCATTACTTGATAAGGAAACTTAAGGTTTTTAAAGATTGAAAATTTGAAATTAGTGATGATGAATCAAATTGTGCTCAAATTTTGCTGTCTTTTCAAGGAGTACATGTACATGTGCATTCATTTTGGTAAATATTTTTTTTTGCATTGGGCACATTGTGCCTTGTATGATGGTTGACGCGATTTCACCAGAAGTTTCGGCAACATGGAATTACGTCTTGAAGATTGAGGACTGCAAGGAATGTTTTAAAAGTCAGGATGTTAGGAAGTTTCTCCCTGTCTGCTGAGCTCTTCTGTTGACCGACCAAACACACCACTCTGTTGGTTCTAATATAAAAGAGTCTATACATTTGTACACGTATGTGCATGCTCTGTCATGAGATAATGAGTAGTAAATATATCACAGGGGTATCTCCTGGTTTGAGATAGTAACTGCATTACAGGAATATCAGCTTCTTATCAGATTCATTAACTCTATGTACATGTATTGTACATAATGGGTGCAATAGAATGCTAACTGCATAGACTTGATATACATGTAGTCTGCATCACTGCTACCGGTACACATGTTGAGTCAGAGAACGACTAATGAGTTTTTGTCAGTATGACACCTGATATAAGGTCAATTAATTTAAATATTTAAGTGTGTATATAACAGCACTGCATTCCATATGTGTACTTCAGATTTAGTCCAATCAGACTACCAGGAAGGTAGTATTGTCTCATGTATATTAACACCAAACAATTGTCTCACCCTTAAAATGGAATTTGGACAATTGTAAGCTGCATACACACACATATATTTTTGGTTTTTGAAGCGCATTGAGGTGTCGTTGAAATCTTGGAAGGAGCTAGAACATAAAGTCTGTGGATCCCAAGGATTTAAAATAATGCAAGCACAAAGTAAAAAATGTTAAGACTTGGCATACAAGAGTAAGAAAAGATTAAATCCTCCAAAATCCTCTTTGCAAAATGGAGGATTTTGCAGGATTGATACTATTGTGGCTGATTTTGGAGGATGCACTGTGTCAAGGTCTTGGGCCGAACCTTGTGTTGTTTATGCTCAGCCGTGAGCATAAATTTAGGCCTACATTATACTTGAAATCCTCCGCACTGCTCCAGCATGCCACTGGCTATGCCTCAACATACCGGTATTGACTGCTACATGTATTGCTAGAGGATTTCGCAGGATTGAGGCAGTATGCAATTTGAGGCAGTTGGAGGATTTTGCAGGATTGAGGTTGCATCCTAGCAAAAAATGCCTAGGGAGTTAGGGTTAAAGGAGGTCATGGGTTCGAGTCCCACCTGAGTAATCTTCTGAATTTTTTTCTCCCATGCCCTTGGACAACACTGAGTATGGGTGTTTATAAAAAACACAACCGTCAGTAAAGGACAAACCCCATCAGAACATTTAGAAGATATTCATGTGATGTGCTGTGACAGAAATATTAGCCAGACATCACGGGGACGTAATCGTTTGACATCAGTAGCACCAAATGGCGTCAGAATCTTATTAAGGATTTTTTTTTTTTCTTTTTTCCTTTGTCGGGAATTCAATGCAAACATTTGCCGTTGCTGTCGGCCGTAAGCTGAGTCAATAATGGCTTGCAAATGTGTAAACCGATCATAATTACAATTGGCAGCGTCGAAAATGAGAAACAGGTGCTCTTGTGAATGCATCGCGGAGACTTGTACAGTTTGTACGTATGCAAAGAGGAGTCTGAAGGTGAATCGCTTTGATAATCGCGGTGGGGTTTCTATGGGGATGAATGCTTAAAGGCGCCGTCTTGTCACTTGAGATTTCGCATTAAAGGGGCGTTGTGTTGTGTCTGCAGAAAAGAATCTGGCAGAATGTTGATATCAAGATGTACCGGTAGACTGGGCTGGTATAACACACACGGTCTGGTAGATTGTCATTAATTTAAAAAAAAGTAACTGTATATTATATTCCTAGAAGACAAAATTGACCTACCACTAAATTCACTGCAAGTTTTGATATGGGGGAATGTTATAATTCATCTATAGGCAAGTTGAAGTTTAATCTTGTCATGTACTGAAGTGTGGAATCTTTGGTTGAATGTGGAGCCATAGATGTTTCTGATGCCAAGTCATATGGTGCCCTGAAAACAAATTATATTGCTTTAAAGGTAGCGACCATCATTTGTATTTTGTGCATTATGTTCGTTTGAAGCAAAAAAAGTGCTCAAAATCTAAAGAAGGGTGATGAACAACTAACTTGATGAAGTTTCAGCTCACAATGTTAGTTCTGACTGTTTATCTCTTTCTTTTATGTGTTCATTTCAGGCAAGATTCGGACAGAGATGGTTGAGACTGAGACTGAGCGAACCCCCCTGCAGCAGAAATTGGACGAGTTTGGAGAACAGCTGTCTAAGGTATGTACCGGGTATTCTGGGCTAGAGACTGAGAGTAGTATTCTTGTCGAGTACTCATGAGTCAATCACAAGTCAGTCACATGTCCATCACAAGTCAGTCACAAGTCAGTCACAAGTCAATCACAAGTCAATCACAAGTCAATCACAAGTCAGACACAAGTCAGTCACAAGTCAATCACAAGTCAAGCACAAGTCAATCACAAGTCAGTCACAAGTCAGTCACAAGTCAATCACAAGTCAAGCACAAGTCAATCACAAGTCAGACACAAGTCAGTCACAAGTCAATCACAAGTCAAGCACAAGTCAGTCACCGGTCAGTCACAGGTCAGTCACAGGTCAGTCACAGGCCAGTCACAAGTCAATCACAATTCAGTCACAAGTCAGTCACAAGTCAGTCACAAGTCAGTCACAAGTCGATCACAAGTCGATCACAAGTCAATCACAAGTCAATCACAAGTCAATCACAAGTCAGTCACAAGTCAGTCACAAGTCAGTCACAAGTCAGTCACAAGTCAATCACAAGTCAATCACAAGTCAATCACAAGTCAGTCACAAGTCAGTCCCAAGTCAGTCACAAGTCATTCACAAGTCAATCACAAGTCAATCACAAAGTCCGTCACAAGTCATGCAGTCTTAAAAGTCAATTCATGAGCTGTTCAGGTGAACGATGACTAAGGCATTCCAGTGTTATTGTTCGTCCACTGTTACTTGTGACTGGGCTTGTGAAAAGGACTTGTGATTTATGTGATTTACTTGCGACTGGACTTGACGACAACACTGGTGGTGACCAGCTACTGTAGTGGATTGTGACAAAGACATTCCCTGATTATATTTCATTCCCTGTTGCTTGTGGCCATGTTAAAGGGAACGTACATCATTGGCTTTTGCTGTAATTTTCAGAAATGAACTATTTGAGGGGTTAGTATAATAGATCAAATATTCTACACTGATGCATGTTTGAAGTTTTGTGTTCGAAAATGCTGAAAAAACAAAGAAAAACATAAATTGTCAAGTAGTCTGGTTCCCGGACTCCACTAAAGATGAAATGAATCAATTTATAGCTGCCGGAAAATTGTAAGGTAAGGGAACCGGTCTAGCTGGCCTGCACCACCCGTTCATGAACACGTAACCAATAGCAAACAAAATTTGGACTGAAAAAAAGGTAAATTTGGAGCAGTAGTTGAAAAATAGTTAGGTTTTTCCAACAGTGGCCGACCACTGTTGGAAATGTATACAAAAACACCATTTTCTTGAAAATGACTTCACACCAGGTGCCATAATTTTACAGGATGCTTTAGACTGTCATTTACCAACATCCTACTAAGGTATTTCGTAAAAACTTGGTAGTTTTATTTTTGGATGTTTGCAAATGTTGTATATTCCCTTTAACTGGTGATTTGACTCGTGAATTGACTTTGTTAGGTCTGTGATTTCAACTCCGAGAATTAGGATCAGTTTCAGAAGGGCAACAATTGGTAGATTTATGGGTCATCACATAGTGTTATTGCAACCCTCTATCTACGGCAAGAAATATTACGTGTTTGGTGAATATTATCTTCTTGCAATAATGCCTCAACAAAATACACGATCATGTGTAACGTAATGAGGAATACAACTAAGGACTTGCACATGTAAACTGTTCGAGCTTGGACATATGCAAACAATAGCATGATTGTTGTAAAGCGATGCCAGTACATGTACAAGTACATATCCCGAATTTATATCCATGTTTGTTTTGTTTCTAGTCCTTGTTTATGTTCCTTGTTTATGTTCCTTGTTTTGTGACCTTAGTGCATGGCAGCCTATGATGAACTTCCCGTCCGATGTTGTTCCTCTTTGGAACATCCTGAAGATGCTCATAATTCCTCGTTCTGAGGCTGATGTGTACATGCACGTTCTGTGCCCCACCCCCCCCCCCCCCACAAAAAAATTGTTTCTTCTATTAAATTTGAAGGAAAATGTACTTCATGTAGTACGTTGTCACAACTCTTCCCAATTTCAAATTTTTTTCTTATAAGCCGTGGCTTCATTCCAGCAACGACTTTATCCGTGGCTCCAAAATACACTCAAGTTTGCCTAATATTTTGAGCTCCTTGTGCGAAACAGAGAGGGTGCTTTTTTACTACTTTTGAGAGTTCCAGTGCGGGCACACGATCAGAGATGCCAACATTTACGATTTAGGCGTAATTTATAAGATTTGTTCACCCTGATTATGATTGTACGATCCTTATATGATTTTCTACGATTTTCCAAGATTTTACATGAATAAAATAATGTTTGCACAATTTGTATTACATGTACCGGGTAGTATCTTGACTCCTATTTTTGCATAGCGTGTATTAATAAAATGGGAATTTGGTATCAGACTATTGGGTGTGCGATTTTTAGTGCATGAAAGAGCGCCGACATGTAGTGTGGGCACAAAAACGTCCTCACTTAAAGTAAAAGAGCCCAATTGGGCGTAATAAATAATAGTCTGGTTTCCCAAGTGTACACATAGGCAATACATGGAAGTAGGTTGGAAACCAGTTACGGACAGTAAAACCAAAATTGCCCCAACAGTTTGCGCGTGCCCTGGGGGGCGGTGAATTGAACATTTTTCTGTGGCAATTGAACGTTGTAGTGTTTTCATTTTGCGGATCAAAGAACAAACAACGATGGCTTCACTTCACCAGAAGTTTAAAGATGAGTACAGCAAAAAGTGGGATTTTGTTGTGAAATCTGTTCGTGGGGAAAAATGTGCATTCTGCAACATATGTCGCTGTGACATTTTTTTCGATTTTTCAACAGGTTTTATGTTATGTCTTGTTTTCAGCAGGTGTCTTTTTCAATTTTGAATGTTGGCATCTCTGCACAATGCATTCGCGTACTGGTTCGCACAACTAATTCTATTCTGAATTTGCGCAAAGCCATAGCGTCTTTGCGTAAGTGTCGGGCAACTTTCGCAGTATTTTTCGAATGTCTGTCCCTGTGGTCTCTCCCAACTCTTCCTTTTGTACATTTGAGGGGGAACTTGTAAACGGAGCCCATCGGCAGGAGTCTAAAACTCTAAGAAGAAAACAAAAATTCTGAAGTCAAAGCCCAAGACAAAGTAGAGATTTAAGAAGCCGCTCAAGCACCTCCAGCAACTTCTTCAATTACTTTGTTTCAGGTGATCTCCATCATCTGCGTTGCCGTCTGGGCCATCAACATTGGCCACTTCTCCGACCCCTCTCACGGTGGTTCCTGGGTGCGGGGCGCCATCTACTACTTCAAGATTGCCGTGGCTCTGGCCGTCGCAGCTATCCCAGAAGGCCTGCCTACAGTCATCACCACGTGCCTGGCCCTCGGTAAGTCCTAAATCAGTCTGCGTTAGCTGGTAAGTTCATTCAGGTAGCTTGTGAGATGCTTTTGCCTTGTAATTGGGCCCCCAGTTGCTCAGCTCTATAGAGCCTTTGCATAGAGTGGCCATGTTAGCTGGTGAGTTCATTCAGGTAGCTTGTGAGATGCTTTTGCCTTGTAATTGGGCCCCCAGTTGCTCAGCTCTATAGAGCCTTTGCATAGAGTGGCCATCTTGGGGCACTGTGGTCCAGTGGTTACTGTGTTTGATTGATGTGCCGTCCTACATAGTGTTTATGTTCTTGGGCAAGACACTTTACTACAGTTGCCTCTCTCCACCCAGGAGTATAAATCTTGAGCTGATACATAGGAAAATGTTCTCATGGCCTAATGAACAGGGTGTTACAACTGATAAAGTAGTAACCAACGAATAATGCATCACCAACCGATAATGTCACACAAATTGACCGATACTGTATCACTAACCGATAATGTAACAGCAATTGACTGATAATAACAACAAAGCATTTGTAAGGCGCACAGTATCTGACAATAATAGTCATTCAAAGGCGCCGGTCAGTGAAAAGTCAGTGTGTGTGAAGGTAGAGGTCATTGTGTGTGAGAAAGAAACTAATTGAAGAGGTGGGTCTTAAGTTGGCGTGTGAAGAGAGATAATTGGTGTATTGCCCTTAACTCGTCTGGTAACGAGTTCCAGAGACGTGGTGCAGAGCTGGAAAATGCACGGTCTCCGTAGGTCGCCAAACGAGTCTTCGGGACAAACAGTATATTGGATGACGACGACCTCAGACCTGGTCTCAGTTGACGATGTTGAACCATTTCCTTCAGATACAGTGGGGCTAAACCATGAAGAGCTTTGAAAGTAAGAAGGAGAACTGTGTAATGGATGCGGTACTGGATTGGTAGCCAATGAAGTTTGCGCAAGATGGGTGATAGTGTAGTACATTCTACAGCCCTGCAACTTTTTCTCGGATCCGCTGATTTCCTTGGTTTTTTTTACTTCTAATGAATGCCATTGCAAATTGAAAAACACTGTACAAAGTCTTGTGTGGTTTGGAAATTTGCTTGTTTTGTCTTAACTCCAAGTTGCATGCCTGACTACACTATCTGTCAATATTTGTTACATTATCGGTTAGTGATACAAAATCGGTCAATTTTTGTGACATTATCGGTTGGTGATACGTTATTTGTTGGTTACTACATTACCAGTTGTAACAAGGGGTAATAATTGTGAAGCGCCACAAGATCTTTGATATAAAGCGCTGTATAAGCACCATATTCTCTAACATTTCCTTAACCCTAACCCCTTGGGTATTTTTACTAGAAAGTATCCTGAATCTGGCAAAATCCATCAATTTTGCCATGCAAAAAAAATTGTTGGTGGCCAGTAAGTCCATCAGAATCCACCAGTTAGGCGGGAGTAAATCTGTTGCGATCCTGAATCCATCAAAGGCCCCCAACTGCTCAATATGGAGGTATCCTGAATCCATCAAAATCCTGGAGTAACGCTAGGCTTACTGTGCTGAATCCATCAAAATCCCCCAACTTTTTCAATTTGGAGGTATCCTGAATCTGCCAAAATCCTCCAAAACAGGGGTGTGGATTTTGATGGATTCAGGTACGTTAGGGTTAAAGATCATTTAACATGTAAGAGTTTATTATCTTGTTCGTGTGCTGTATTTTGTGTGTAGACGGTTATCATCTGTGTCCCTTGGACATTGGGAAGTTAACTCATTAATAAGTAACAGATTGTGCTAAAAATAAAAAGGCCTAACTGGAAAATTGCTCAAAGTGAAAGTAAATGCCACTATCTGTTCTCATCGTCAGCAAATAACTACTGTACTGGTACTCGCACATTTTGATGATGAAAATAATGACTTTCTTTTTGTATCCTCAACCGTTAGGTACCCGTCGTATGGCTAAGAAGAATGCCATTGTTAGAAGCCTGCCCTCTGTTGAAACCCTCGGCTGTACGTCAGTCATCTGCTCTGATAAGACAGGAACCCTCACAACCAATCAGATGTCTGTCAGTAGAGTAAGTGGCCCCCATTTTGAAAATTCCTTGCTGGAGTCATTCTCCGAATCCTGACTTCATTTCCAGCTGTGGGCCGTCTCAACCTTGATAAACACATCGTTGTCGGCACCACGAACTGAAACTCACGCGCAAGTGATCTGATATACCGTGCCCTCTGGAGACGTGCACACAATAGGGAACAAAAGATTGTATACATGTACGTCTCCACAGGGCAATTTCTATAGATGAATACGTCTCCACGAGATTTTCACGAAATAGATATATAGATTTTACTCAAAAAGTAGGAATTTCCAAGGTGTGTTGATTTGTCGCAAATGGAAGAGTTTTAGAAAAGGGATATTAAGTCCGAATTTCAGCCAAGGAAATTAATTCTGGTTAAAATAAGAGCATTTTGAAACTTCACTTTCAAACTCGAAAACTTTACTACATGAGAACAAAGAAATGTCTCCACAAGAATACAAATTTCAGTATGCGTGGAGTGTTAGTTTGTGAAAACCAGGTTATTGTTTCACATAGTCCTTAAAAATGTCTTAAGTGGTTGATGTGCTTGCAGCCTATGATGAACTTCCTATCCGACCTTGTTCCTTGGAACATGCTGAAGATTTCCATAATTCCTCGTTCTGAGGCAGATGCAAAGCCAAGCAGTGTTTTAAGCCCCAAACTTGCATTGAGGGCATGTGAGATTAACCAAAACAATGTTGTACCCATTTGAGTAATCGTCATAACAAGCTTTTCATTTTTCTTAACACGTAGACATTTGTCATGGACAAGGTACAAGGTGACAAGGTTAGCTTCCATGAATTTGAAGTCAGCGGAGTCACATACGAACCAAAGGGCGAAGTGTAAGTACCCAAGAAATCAACCCCTTTTCCCTTGTAATTCCATCATTTTCTAACAAAACAGAGTGCATTAATTAACCATAACTTCCTAAGCACGGATAGGAACCTTCCTGATTCCACCATAACCCAACGCTTTGTTGTAAAGGCCTGTCTCAATTCATATACGGGACGAGTTCCTGAAAAGTTGGGGACATTGTATCGGGTATAAGTTGGAGTATTCTGAACAACTTCCCTGCAATCTTCCTGCAATGAAGTTATTAGTATTGGTGAGTCGAGCAGTTGCTAATGAAAATTCCCCTAGAAAAAGTGAACGATTCTTCCCGCAACTTGACTGGAACTCGTCCCAGATATGAATCGAGATGGGCCCTAATGTGGCACAGTTTTGGACCTTGGTAAAACCAGTACATTGAAACTATTGAAGTGAAAAACTCTGAGCTCTGCGGTCCTAAATGTATCCATATTCAACAAAAACCAGAGATGTATTTGAAGTTTTGAATGGAGAGGATGACAAAGACAACTACAGTGGAACGTCGCTACACTGAACACTGCTATGCCGAACGTTCGGCTATACCGAACATCAGCCTTGGCTCCCAATTTTTGTGTACAAAACATACCGAATATTGTTGTTGGAAATGTCAACAGAAGAGCGACAAATGGCTATTATTTCCCCAGCGAATAGTAGGAAAAAGCCACCAATGTAAGCTAAAAAAACCCTGTGTAATTACATGATTCAATAGTCGCACGTGTTCGAAGGCGTCTTTCAGTAACTACCAGGGCGTACGTACTTGGTGAAGTTTTGCTACGGAATAGAAAATATGAATGGACACGTTTTGCGACTCCGCGCGTGGTTTGTATGCAACTACACAATAACAATGATCAAAAGAGGGCGCCACCAATGACTGTGTGAAAATTGCTATACCGAACGATCGCTATTACAAACAATTTCTGTGGATCCCACGGTGTTCGTTATAGCGACGTTCCACTGTATTTGCAGGTCTTACTGTATTGTTTTGGTTAAGGACACTTCAAAAAAGGAAATTAACTTCAAGTTCGTTAATTGACTTCAAGTTCATTTAAATTAATTAAGTTCAAGTATAATTGAGAAATAAGTACAGCTCATTTTTTATATTGCACTGCAAGAGTATTTTGTTAGTTGGATTTTTTTTTGCGGATGGATGGTTTTTAATAAAATTGTTAAAAAATAAGCCACTTGTCACTTTTGAAAACCAGTTGAATGTTATACAACATCTTCAAGCCTCACATTTGGGGAAACATCAGAGCGATCCCTGACTCCAAAATGTTGAACTGCAGGATCCACTAATGCACAGACATACCATATGTTGCATGTAGCACATTTTTGTCTCTTCGCTAAGGAATGTTGCCCCAGACTGTATTTGTAATGACTGTTTAGACTGTGGCGTAAACGCGGTTGCCATTTGACAAGAATGCAAGGGTTAATGACTTGGCATCATACATCACGGCCCGTGATGATCCTCGCATCCATCTGAACATTCTGAAGACTTTGGGACCTTGATATCTGAGGCTGATGTACTTGCTGGAAAAGACTTTTGATGTTACTTTTAGAACGATAAGTCTTAACCCTAACCCTCCTCAATCCATCAAAATCAACCGTGGGATTTTGAAGGATTTTGGATGATTGAGGCTGTGTGCCTGTTACCGGTACATGTAATTGTCCATTGGTTTTATAGGCATGCAACTTTTCCTCGATCCGCTGATTTCCTCGTATTTTACTTCTCATGAATGCAATAACCCTCCAACATCCATCAAAATCAACCAGGCACTTTTGGAGGATTTTGGAGGATTTTGGAGGATTTAGGCTGTGTGCCTGTAAAATGTAATTGCCCATTGGTTTTACTTTTATAGGCATGCAACGTTTCCTTGGATCCGCTGATTTCCTCGTATTTTACTTCTCATGAATGCCATAACAAGTTGAAGAACACTGTACAAAATCTTGTGTGGTTTGGAGTTTCCTTGTTTTTTTAAAAATTCCCAGTTGCATGCCTGGTTTTAGAGGATACGGTACATTGTGTCAAGGTCTGGAGCTGCACCTTGTGTTGTTTATATTCGGCCATACCTAAATTTAGACCTAGGTTAGGCCAAAAAAATAAATAAAGTCGGTCTCTGGTCAGCGCGTGCGTCGATTTTAATCATGCGCGTCAATCTTTTTTTTTTTCCAAAATGTTCCGCGGTAGCTCCAACAGCGCCCTCTATTGCCGCACCTCCTCAATTTTTTTTATCAAAGAGCACCAAGGAATGGGAAATTGCACCAAGGCAAATGATCGAGAGCACCAAGGCAAATTATGGAGGACACCAATGTACATGAGGACACCAAAAAAGCAAAATAGTACCCCACCTTGTCTGTACAATCCAAGCTTGAAGAAAAAAAAAAAAGCAAAAAAAAAAAAAAAAAGCCGCGTCCCCGCGTCAATTCCGGAACTTTGGTCTGACCAGAGACCGAATGTTTTTTTTTTTTTGGCCTTGTACTGGATATCAACATCTCGACCAGGAACTTTCTTGACCAAAAAAAACGGTAGACGAAATTGAAAGAAAGAAGTGGCCATTGATATTTTAAATTTTTCTAGCCACCAGAGATACATGATCAGGAAATGATTTTCTTTTTTTTATCATGTCACTATATTATGAGTTTTAATTTCCTGTTCAACTTACGATTTTCCATGTCAGGTTCATTAAACTAGTTTGTTTTTGTGAAATTGGTAAAAATGTCATGGTAGGGGTATGTTTGAACTCTTCCCTAATTCTTGCATCATCGTCAATGTACCATTTTAAAGTTCTGTCCACGGATCTACAAATAAGGTGTGTGTTCTTTCAGCAAAATGAAAACAATTCACACACATCCTTATGTGAACTGTGTTCGTTTTGCTAAAAAAACAATTACGTGTTGTGTGGTCTGTGGACAGAACTTTAAAACGGTGGTTGTGTTTAAAATTCTGTAACTTGAAAAGTACATGAGTAATTTGAATGATTTTTGTACTAAAAGAAAGCTTATTAATTCGGCTTTCATATCCTAGATTTTGAAAGTGCTACATGCAGAACTTCATTAAAAGATTGGTCCTGCCATTTGGGTTTCCATTTTTGTTGACTCTCTCGCTGTATTCCTTTCTGTTTTCCAGACACATGAATGGCAGCAAGGCCAACCTGGCTAGTTTCGAGGCCCTACAGGAACTGGCCACCATATGTGCACTCTGTAATGAGTCCAGCATTGACTACAATGAGGTACAGTAATAACTGAATTGATGTCAAATCCAGTTAGATCCGTCCTTCGTACTTGAAACAAACTTGGAACATCATACCACATCTTATTTAACCCTAACCTTCCCAAAACCTCCGAAATCCTCTTTGCAAAATGGAGGATTTTGCAGGATTGAGGCTATATGACAAAAATGTGTGGCTAATTTTGGAGGATGCATTGTGTCAAGGTCTTGGGCCGGACTTTATGTTGTTTATGCTCAGCCGTGCACAAATTGGGCCTAGATTATACTTGAAATCCTCCGCACTGCTCCAGGATGTCACTGGCTCTCTCTCAACATTGACAGTGATTGCTGGAGGATTTTTGCAGGATTCAGGCAGTGGTCACCCCTCCAAGGACCACATTCAGGAAATAATGGAGGATTTTGGAGGATTGAGGCTGTATGCAATTTTTACATGGAGTATTACAAAGTATTGCAGCCTCTGTGCTTGAACAGCAGATGGCACATTGTCAACATTTCGAGAGCTCCAATGGGAGAGACACACTGCATACTCGTAATCGTTCGCAAACCCATAGCGTTTACATACGAACGTCAGGGGCCATCAGAAATGCGTTCGAATGTCTATCCCAGTGGTCTTCCCAACTATCCCCTGGTAACCATTGTGCACAGAGTCTAAACAGTCCCCAAACCATCAAATGTTGCAAAAATCGGTTACAGATTTGGGAAACAGTTACCTAAAGTAAATCCCTTTTAAGCGAGATTGTGACCAGAAGCCTATGATGATTAATTCCCATCTGATTGCAAACCGTTTTGCGGTTGCGGTTGAGGATTCTATGAATTCCTCGTTTCTGAGGCTTGAACAGAGTACAGGCAGAAAAAGTCTGGTAACTTTATAATCTGGTTTGTATAAACCACCATCAAAATGTAAGCACCAGAATTTAGCCAAAAGCCATATTGTGAGCAAATGAGGCCAATGTAAAGGGGCCATTTTTGGGTATAAACTGGCATGAATCCAAGTTTAGGTAAAGCTTTAATTTGAAAAAATAAATTTTACAATCTCTAATCTTTAGATCTACATGTAAGTAAAATTACAAAATTTCATCAATAAGCATACCGGTATTTCTAATATCAGTGTTACAGTGTTCTCATTTGTTACAAAAATATGACCTAACCTGGACACACCATGTAAAGTCTTAGATTGAAGTAAAATTTAAAAAAATCTTAAATAAACATATTTCTAATGTTTGAACCCAGAAAACGGTTTTACAGTGCCCTCATTTGTTACATATCGTGACGTCAGTGCAACAAGGTCGTAACTGGATTCTGCAACAAAGTCGTATCTCGCGCGAATACGCTCTGTGCAACAAGGTCGTATCTCGACGTCCATTGACTTTGCGTGTACATCCGGGTTATTTTAAGTGAGATACGACCTTTTGACATTGGCGTTTGAAACTCGCGTTTTGCGTTGATGTCATTTTAGGAGATTCGACCTTGTTGCACTGACGTGGCAATAACATACGACCTAATCTGAACGAGCCATGCAAAGCTTTCAAAACCTGTATTAATAATTGTAAATTTGAAATTAAATCAAACTCTCCCCACTATCCTAACCCCAAGACCAAGAACGTCTATGAGAAGGTCGGCGAGGCCACCGAGACCGCCCTGACGGTCCTCGTGGAGAAGATGAACGTCTTCGGCACAGACCTGACGGGCCTGGACAAGCACAAGCTGTCCAACGCCTGCAACCTGGCCATCACCTCCCAGTATAAGAAGGAGTTCACCTTGGAGTTCAGCCGAGACCGGAAATCCATGAGCTGCTACTGCACACCCACCAAGATCACCAGATCGGCTGGGGGCAATAAGATGTTTGTCAAGGTGAGTCATCTCCAAAAGTCTGGGTCCAAAGTTTTGACGTCTCCGAACATTAAGGATTGACACCTCCCATATGCCATGCTTGTGGCCTTCCTAGATTGATTGTTTCAATTTGCTACTAGTAAAAACAAACCATCAGTTTAGTACCTGTAAGGCCATGATACCACACACTTCTCCATCCTCTTCTATTCCCTCACATTCTTCAGCTCATTCAGGGTGAGTAAAAGAAATGAAACCCAAATGTCCCGACTGTTGTTTTAGTGACGTTCAAATGTGTAGCACTTTCAATGTCTAGGATATGAAAGCCCAATTCATAAGCTTTCTTTTAGTACAAGAATCATTCAAATCTTTCAAGTTATTTTCAAGTTATGGAATTTTAAACACAACTACAGTTTAAAAGTTCTGTCCACGGACCAACAAAAAAAAGATGAGCGTTCTTTCAGCAGAACGAAAACAAATCACATAGGGATGTGTGTGAATTGTTTTCGTTTTGAAAGTAGGCACACATTTTTTTTGTGATCCGGGTACAGAACTTTAAAACGGTGTTTGTGTTTAAAACTCCGTAACTTGAAAAGAACATGAGTGATTTTAATGATTCTTGTACCAAAAGAAAGCTTATGAATTGGGCTTTCATATCCTGGATTTTGAAAGTGCTATACGCAGAACTTCACTAAAACAATAGTCCTGACGTTTGGGTTTCGCTTTTTTTTTTTAACTCGCCCTGTATAATACACCCTACACTACCCTCCTTCTATCCCCTATAAAACCAATGGTTCGGTACCTGTGTGGGCCTTGTCACAGCAGGCAGTGTTCAGGCTGTGAATTCCGGGATGCCTCAAAGAACAGAACGATTTGAGAACTTACATTTTACATAAACTCAGGAATTTCCAAAAACCATCTGAAAAATGTAGTTTGTCCATCCAGAAGGTTGCCTTTGCTTCCTATTCAATTGATTGCTTCTAAGTTGCCCATGAGAATGACCTTGTTTAACCTATCCCTAAAGCCAATTATGTCTTGCCTCGCTTCCTTTTCTGCCCAAACGTCCCCCAACTCAAAGATCCCTCTACCTACCGTTACACTACTCCAAAGCCATAAAATCTTCAGATAGGCTCATGCAAAGCTACAAAACCTCATTGGTCCTTGCTGCCTGCTGTTTTTCTTTTCACCTTCGTTCTTGGGCAAACTAAACAAATTATAAGGTTTGTTGAGCCAGTGATGATTCATTCCCATCCAATGCCCTTCCTCACCGGATGGTCGCTGTGGATCACAGGAATTCCTCGTTTCTGAGGCTCTCTCATCCCGCGTTGGTTTAACGTACTCCTATCAAACCATCCAAGTCACTTGCTGAGACAAGTTTCAGTTGTCCTTCCGAAACCTACACACTGGATCTCCTCGGTTGAAACCAACTTGATTTGTGCTTCAGTTTTATAGTTGGCAAAGTTACATTCGGACGAAATATCTCGTTAGACCTGTTGGGCCTTCTCTGATTGGCTGTAAGATCTAATCTTAGTTAAATCTGTAAAAGTGGCACCACAAAGCCAAATGTCTTGTCATTGCTTCCTTTCAAGACTTGAAATAAGTGTGTACGTGTATGGCTTGATGATAGAGGACCGACACACAAAGGGAGAACAAAAGATCCTTTCAGTCCTCGAGCATTGGGTCTTTTGTTGAAAACGGTCTTCCATCGTATGGTTATGTGCTTAGTCTATTGGAGAGTGTTATATTACAGGGACAAAGGGAAACACAAAGCATTGTCCTCGGTCGTATAGAAATTCACGACTGCATGTTCTTGTTCTCATTGTTTTTCCTGGTGATTGTTTCAGGGTGCCCCTGAGAGTATCCTCGACCGGTGCACTGACATACGCCTCAGTGTGAACAAGGTGCCTCTCACCCCGGCTGCTAAACAGCAAATTATTGACAAAGCATTGTCCTTGGGTGTATAGAAATTCAAGACTGTATGTTCTTGTTTTCATTATTTTTCCTGGTGATTGTTTCAGGGTGCTCCTGAGAGTATCCTTGACCGATGCATGTACATACGCCTGGGAGTGAACAAGGTGCCTCTCACCCTGGCTGCTAAACAGCAAATTATTGACAAAGCATTGTCCTCAGGCCTATAGAAATTCAGGACTTTGTGTTCTTGTTTTCATTGTTTTTCCTGGTGATTGTTTCAGGGTGCTCCTGAGAGTATCCTCGACCGGTGCACCCACATACGCCTCGGAGTGAACAAGGTGCCTCTTACCCCAGCTGCTAAACAGCAGATCATTGACAAGATCGCTGAATATGGAACAGGTAAAATCTCACGAATAGATAATGAAAAGTTTTTTTGAAACCTTAGTTTAAAGGGACGTGCATGAGTAGACCTTGTGCAGTCATTGTTATTGACATAACAATAATTTAAAGGGAATATACAACATTTGCTTTTGCTGTAATTTTCAGAAAGGGATGGATTTGGGGGATAAGTGTTTTATAGCAAATATTGTTACACTGACGTGTTTGAAGTTTTGTGTTTGTAGATGCTGCAAAACCGAGAAAAACAATCATGTTCCTGTAGTGTGGTTCCTGCCCACACTTAAGATGAAATGGAGCAATTTATACACATTGTTGAATTGTAAGGTCAGGGAACCAGTCTAGCTGGCTTGTACCCGTTCATGGGTGGATATTTGATTGAAAACAGAATGCGAAATATTTAGATATTGTAAATTGGGGGCAGTGTTTGAAAAAAGCCATTTTTTTCCAACGATGGTCGGACGACCAGCGTTGAAAAATTGACACAAAAATACCACTATCCTTGAAAATGACAGCACACCAGGTGCCTTGATTTTACAGGATGCTTTAGACTGTCATTCACAAACAGTCCAGTAAGGTATTTCATAATAATTTGCTAGTTTTGTGTTTTGATGTTTGAAAATGTTGTATATATTGCCTTTAAAAACACCATCAAGATGGCTTCTGAATGCAATAGGTCAATTTTTGTCTTTGGTTGCTTGTGTAAAACAATATAACTATAACTATAAAACTATAACTTACAACATTTATAACGCGCTTTCCACCATGTTTCAAAGCGCACAGTTGTTTCTTGTACAATTATCAATTTACTGATCAAAGGCTTGTGAAAAAAGAAAGCTCTTAAGTACTGTAAAAAAATATGCAATATTTTGTGGGCTAGATAGTTCTTGGCAAGCCAATGACAGAAGCCTTTTTGAGAAATGTTGAAGTGTCATTCAGCTTAGATTACAACTGCCCTAGTATTTAGAGTTAGGCAAATGTGAACAGAAGAGAGGCATCCCATGCACATTTTGGGAATGAACTATTTTCCTTTGTCTCGATGTGTTTAATAAGAACTGCGCTAGGTCATATTTATGCGTGAGATGTTCTAATATCGTTATCGTCCCTCCCTGTCCTAAGGTCGTGACACCCTGCGCTGTCTGGGTCTGGCCACTGTGGACAGCCCCATCAGAAAAGAGGACATGGATCTTGAGAATGCCAACAACTTCATCAAATACGAGGTAAAGACTCTTAATTAACCCTTAACCCCCTAGGACCTTTTTGCCATCCTCAATCCTCCAAAATCTTGCACATATGTTCAAATGAAGGATACCCAGCGCCTCAATCCTTCAAAATTGTCAGACAGTCCTGCCTCTCAAAATGCATTCATCCTCAATCCTCCAGAATCCTCATGTACTTCAACACCATTCATACTCCAAAATCCTCCTGTTTCTCAAACACCATTCATCCTCAATCTTCCAAAATCCTCAAAATGGAGGATTTTGGAGGATTTAGGTCGGTTAGGGTTAATCATCTTGAGAAAATGCAGTTATGAAGATAAATGAGTTGAATGTTGCTTGAAATCCAAGAGGTATTGAAAATTTGAAGTGCATCAGTAATAGTATAGTGTACCATGGCCCTGTGGTCTGGTACACTCAACGCAAGATCATGTTTGTACTGTGAAATCTTGATAAGTCAAATCTCAAGGGAACGGATAAAGAATTTGGAGATATCAGAAGTCTGATTTAAGCAAAGTTCTCAATTTTTCCCCAAAGTTCCCAAAAGTTTCCAAAAGTTTCCAAATTATGCATATGTACAATGTACAAGAATGGCTATCGACGTAACTCGCTATGCCTGACATGTTATTTGGCTTACTCTCCCTCATTTCACTGATTTTAATGGCGTATTTTTTTTTCAATCTCAAATCATCATTTTGTTCAGATTTTATATTTTGTATACCTAAAAGTGTCTGCTGTATTGATAAATATAACAATAATCCACTCAAACTGTGAAACTTCGTGTTCCGAGTGCATCTTTATTTTGTTGTTTGGTTGTTTTTCTTTCTCCCAGACCAACATGACGTTTGTGGGCTGCGTGGGCATGTTGGACCCACCGCGCAAGGAGGTCATTCACTCTATCGAAGACTGTAAGGCTGCTGGTATCCGTGTCATCGTCATCACCGGCGACAACAAGAACACGGCCGAGGCTATCTGCCGTCGGATCGGGGTCTTCACTGAGACTGAGAGCACTGCAGGTAGGTCGAGACTCGCGTGGTCCTGGTATGGTTGGGTAAAGTTTCTTGGTTATTTGGTTAATAGAGTATGGCCTACTTGCAGGAATGGTAGGTTGAAATATGATACAAGGAAGGACACAACATGTGCCTTCAATGGCTTGCACAAATATATTAATTTTTTTGAATTCACACTTCCTCAGTGGCTGGCTATTTCAACAAAGTGATCCCAGTACACAAAACCATCAAGTGACGGTCTTTAACAGTTACATGTGTAAGAGTTCCCAGCCTACATCAAGCAAGATTGACTGGCTGTGATAGAGCGACTCATCATGAACATACCCAAGACATTTCACGACTATAGGTCAAAGGGTTTTGGAATTATGGCTAATTAATTATTCATATCAGGCCTTCATTTTTAGAAATTCGTGGAGCTCAGTTAATCGCTCTCCTGGGAAATCCGAGGAGCTCAATTTGAGCACCCAAAATTGCTCTCCTAGAAAAGTCCGAGGAGCTCGATTTGCATGTTTTGTGCTCAAAGTAAAAATGAATCCAAATCATTTCCTGAAGCCTTTCATATCATGCACACACACTTGCATCAGAACTGAGAAACAGATGCGACTGTTCACTACAAATTGAGTGCTTAATCCATGTCAATTTAATAGGTTTAAGTTTTACTTGTTTGTGAATCATCCTGATGTGGAAATAAAAATGAAAAACAAATTGGAGTTGACTTGTGGTTCTTTATTAGTGTTTCTATTTTGTTCTATTTTACTTCCGTTTTTATTATACTCACTTTATTTGATTTTTATTTATTTACTGTTTATTTCACTTTTTATTTGATTTTTTTTATCAAATAGTTTAATTATTTTGGTTTACTAACTTTACTAAAAACCTGTTTTTGTTTAAATTTGCATATGTATCATGTGGTGTAACCGTGTTTTTGAGGGGTTCTAAATTTATATCCAAATTGATGAATAGAACCCCCTCCCCCCCCCCAAAAAAAATTCAATTAAATTAAGTCCGGTCATGCATCTGTCAAAGAAATACTTTTTTTGTCACATAAATCCTCAAAATTAGTAAAATAGAAAAGGAAAATAATTATATGAATATTTGGTTTTGGGCACAAAAAAATAAAAGGATCGAAAGTAAGGTCACAGAAATGTACAAGTAACGCCATTACAAAATGTCCAATGGTACTACGCACAAACAATGTCACCGTGCACGGGTGGCCTGTTGACCGGCCGCGCTTGCGGGCATAGCCCGGTAGTTGACACACGGAAAATCGCTTGCACTCTATCGTTGTGGGACAAATGAGCTCAACCTTTCGTAAGGTATTTCCAACCCAAACTTGTCGAAAATGAACGCTAGTTTCTTGTAGATGTACCGGAGATCATTCAAAATGCCGTTCAAACACTCTGGCTCCCTTTGGAATATCACAACTTCCAGAAAAACGGTGTAATTTCACCATGGAGGAAGTTCCTTCCTCCATGATTTCACATAGGCCTACCCACTGTTATCTGGCTGCACAGTATTAGATGCGATGGCGCACAACATCGCTCACACACAACACGTGTGCTTGGGCCACGTCCATTTTATCGAAAATAGGGGTGTTGGTATTACAAAGTAGGTGCTCAGCCCATCCATTTCATAATTGTTTTGTGTTTTCACTTCATCGGAGGTTTATATATTTAGTTTTACATTATAAATATTTATAAACTAATTTATAAACTGATCTCAACCGTAATTATTATTTCATTTTATTCACTTAACGACGGTGCACGTCTGAATGACGATCCTGCCAGTACCCTTTATCATAATGGAACGTGCTACATGTCGTTGACGAAAAGAAAATGGCTAATGTGTCCATGTACATGATGTACGGGTTGGACCCGCTCGAGTAACTGCGAAGTGCGATGTTTACAAAATCCTTCCGATGATTATGGGTGGAATTTACGTGGGTATTCGACTTACTTTTGTAAAAAAAATTTGCAACAAAATCGTTCAAACATCGGGATGACAAGTTAAGAAATCAAGTATATAAAATTTGGATTGACACGATTTTACTGTTGGCTTTATGTAGACAAAAACTGGAGTCGACAATAAGCTTACAAATTTACCTAGGAGCGCTATTATTCGCGCGCCTGGAACCGTGTTAAGGAGCGCGTAGGAGCGCGATCGCGCTCGCGCTCCTTAAAAATGAAGGCCTGCATATGTACGAATGGTAATTGTGATCTGTGTACACGAGATATATGGGAAAGTTAAGTTTTCACGGCACGTAGCGCTGGAAATTTTTTTGCTGCGCAGCATTCCGAGGTCCGATTTTTATGTTTTTGGTATCAAAAGATGCGCAAGGCTCAAGGCTCGGGTCGTGAAAAAAAAATCAAGGCTATTGCGGAAAAAGTTGAGGGGGAGGGGGGGGGGGGGCGGATTCCCTCCCCCCTCCCCCCGGCCCTTTTAGGGTTAATACAGCTATGCTTTGACTGCAGGAGATTGATATTAACCCAGCTGTACCAACCTGTTACGTGCTATCATGTGTGTCTATTGATCAATGAAATAGGATCTGGCCGTTGGTGACTGGCCTGTGTGTAAGTTACGGGAGGGGAAGTTGACTGAATGACTGTCTGTGACTGATCAAACAGTTGGAGTGTTACAATTGTAACCTCATAGCATGAGAGGCAGACGCCTGTGCATGGTGTATGGGTACATGGTGTAAATGGCTTTAATTGTCCTTTATTATAAGTTGGTCATTTTGACTGATGTGGGTATACTTACTGACAGAGTTTGTTACTATGCAAAAATAAAATTATAAATCAGCAAACTTAAGCTAGGAATGAGCCACAAATGACACATACAACATTTAACATTTTGGCGGGTAACATATTTTCTTGCTGTTCAGAAAAAAAAGTACAGAGTATTGGTTTAGAAACATTAGCCTTTCAAAACATTAGTTGAATTGCAAGTTTTTGAGATTGTTCATTTTTATGCACCGATATTGTAACAGTTTGTACATCACGGATAGCCAATGATGATTATTCCCTTCTGATGCAAATCTTTGCAGTTGAGGATCATATGAATTCCTCGTTTCTGAGGCTCCCAGATGATGATCAAACTAAAAAAAAGTGTGGGTTTCTTAGCTTCTGAACTGTGTCCCCATGAACACAGACATCAATTGGCAAATTGGAAGACCACCAACATACCGTAATTTTCGGAATATACACATGTAGGCTGCGCGGAGTATAAGCCGCAGCGCACATTTTTCGCACATTGATTTTGTACTCACCAATTTTTCCCTCGGCGTTCACAATTTTTTTCGGACCGCGTTCGCAGTTTTTTTCGCAACGTGTTCGCACCGTTTTCGCAACGCGCTCGCAGTTTTTTCGCAACGCGTTCGCAAAATATTCGCACCTTTTTCGCAAAACGTCCACATTTGCAAATTTTTCGCGCCGCATTCGCGCTGTTTTCGCACTGCATTCGCACTGTTTTCGCACTGCATTCGCACATTTTCACTGCGAATTCGCAAGAGGTAAAAGTCACGCTCAAAATGCGAAATCATACTGTGAATGCAAATGCGAATTTTTTTCACAAATTTTCCCATTCCATTTCGCAGTTAGGTTTCAATTGCACTGTACTGTAGGCTGCGCGGTGTATAAGCCGCAGCACGCAAAAATCTGCAAATACAAATTTGACGTCGGCTTGTTAGGCCAAAAAAAAACAGTCTCCGGTTTCTGGTATGGAGCTTGCCCAAAAAGTGGTGCGGCGACGCGGCTTTTTTTTTTTTTTTTACCCGAATTTTTTGCTTCAAATGTCGGCCGATGACTGCAAATGGTGCCCGACAAAACTTAAGGCAAATATATGGGAGTCCAGAGAGACCACATAAAGCTTATTCTCGACCATAACCCGATCTAAAAACACGTTTAAATTGTGCAGCAGCAGGATTCCAGTCAAACCAGTGAGTTTGGCGGTTTTGAGACATCATCTTTCATTGAAAAAAAAAACCTTTTTCATTTTGCCGACGCGCATGGCCTACGGCGACGCGCGCGTACCAGAAACCGGAGACTTTTTTTTTTTGCCTTAGCCGCACCGGCGTTTAAGCCGCATCGACCGCAGCTGTTTCAATCTTGTAAGGCCTCCAAATTCTGAAGTCAAAAAGCTCTGGACCAGTTCCATTTTCACTACGAAAACTATGAAAAGGGCCACAAAAGTTATATCAAAACATTTACGGTCGATACCGCTCGGTACCTTTTCTTGGGACGTGCTTCTTCTGTTTGTTAACGAGTTTCCGGTACCTCAAGTCCGGTAACGATTTATAATTCATTTCAGCAACAGATCTTTTCTGATGCAAATACATTATATACAAATTTAAATCTTATTTTTATTCTTCAAGGCTCAGCACATAAGCCGCTGTGTGTATAAGCCGCAGTAAACATTTTTACGGGCAAAATCAACGTATAAGCCGCAGCTTACATGTATATTCCGAAAATTACGGTAATTGTGGTTTGTTCAACAAACATAATTAGAAACTTTGTAGAACAGCTCACTACCAAAATAGTGTGTGTTTTTTTTAGTTGAGTTAATAGTGAGTTAAATTTCTTCCTGGTGTTTGTTTTGTCTGATTAGGCTTGTCCTACTCTGGCCGGGAGTTTGATGACCTATCCACTGAGCTGCAGAGTAAGGCATGCGCTGAAGCCAGGTTGTTCTCCCGAGTGGAGCCAGCACACAAGAGCAAGATCATCGAGTACCTGCAAGGACACGGAGAGATCTCGGCCATGGTCAGTGGGCAAAATTGTTTAGCAAAAAATTATTATTAACCCTTACATTACCACATTGTTTATTGACTTGGCTCTCCCCAGGACCAAATTGTTTGCTCAGTCATGCGGAAATCACTAGAGCGTGAAAAAAATGACCACACGTCAAAAACTCACTTTTTTCAACCAAGATTTTCATGGCCAAGCAGTGATTAAAATCATAGGTGTTGTGTGTAAAGTTTGTTCCTTGAACCTTACTCTTTTATGTGATGTAAAAATGAAGTCCATACGTGAAAATATAAGAAAGTTATGCCTTTTTGTCCATCTTGTCCCATTTATCAAACTGCAAGCCATTTCACCACATGACCAAATGGCACTCCATACCTAAAATTGTGCGTGGATACTTCTGAAGCACTTTTCTCATTTTTTTGTAATGGTAACACTATGAATAAACTACACCATTAGAACGATCCGAAAACACTCTTTCAGTTGGTATATGGTTGATGTACACGTATGAGCGGCCAAACATATCAACATGCCGCCTTTCTGAAAAGTAGTAAATATATCTGTATTGAGGGTGTTCTGTGTGTGGTTTCCTGGTCGACTAAAGTCGCCCATGGGAATCAGCAGGGGGGTAGTTCTTGTCGACAAAAGTCGCCCATGGTAAGGAAAGGGTTAAACAATTATTCTGAAAAAAAAGAAGACATTTCATGGGGAAAAAAAATGTTTTCCCCGAAAATTCTTCAAACCCCGCATGAATCAATCCAATTTTTAAAAGATTTCTCCAGTTTTTCTGGACAAAAAAAAGACATCGCCATGTACATAAAGAATATATGAAAATAATGATACAATTCCCGAGTTATTGTGAATAGGACAGTTCAAGAAAGAAGGACGTATCCGCGGACATTTATACGTTTTTTTTCCACCGACATTGTTTTTGATGGGGCGCAGTTCATACGTGTAAACGTGTGGTCTGAAACAAAAAAATAAAACCCACCTGAGGAACGTAAACCTATTCGCAATAATTATTCGTTTATAATTAGCCTCTTAAGTAATCCAGTTGTTTTTGTGTTGTTTCTTGCTGTTGTTTGCTTTATCTGAGTTATGCTTAAACATTTCCTTGTACCAGATATGCCAGACAAGCCACAAATTCTCATGAACTGTTCTCTTTCCATATCTAGACTGGTGATGGTGTCAACGATGCTCCAGCCCTGAAGAAGGCCGAGATCGGTATTGCCATGGGCTCTGGTACGGCTGTCGCTAAGAGTGCCTCAGATATCCTTTGAACAGAACCAACTCAAAAAAAGACTGAGAAACAGCAGTCTTTTGATGGCAAAGATTTGACAAGTTAAATTTGTTTGATATTTTAACAACCTTGATGTTTGATTAATCAATCGCTAAAATCTCACCCAAAACATCATTTTTTTGTATTTTCTAGAATTATTTCACACTTTTCAGAATAATCAACCATTCAACCACTTTTCAGATAAATCAACCATGATGTTTGATTTATCAATCACTAAAATCTCACCCAAAACTTGTCTTGTATTTTCTAGAATTATTGCACACTTTTCGGAATCTCATGTCATTTTTACAGACTTAATTCAGGCCCACAAGTAAAGAAAAGCACTTGAATCTACAGACAGTGACCTGAAACCATCCCAAATCTGACAAAATCCAGCACCAGTTTGGTAGATTTTGACGCATTCGTGACTTATCGCGCACTTCGTCACTTCTCGAACCTTGATGTTACTTCTTTTTTTGTATAACCAAAAATATGACATTGGTTTACTACACAGTGTTACACTTTGGGAATTAGGATTTAAGATTTAAAGGGAAAATACAACATTTGCAAACATCAAAAAACAAAATGATCAAATTATCACGAAATACCTCACTGGATTGTTAGGGAATGAAAGTCTAAAGCATCACTTAAACTCGTGGCTCCTGGTGTGCTGACATTTTCAAGAAAAACTGTATTTTTCCAACACTGGTCGGTCGACCAGCGTTGGAGAAAACTGGCTATTTTTCAAAAACTGTTCTTAATTGTCCATATTTAGTTATTCTGACTATTCTTTGCAATTGATTACACACCTGTTAAGGGGTACAAGCCTGCTAGACTGATTCTCTGACCTTACAATTCCCCAAAGTGTATTAATTGCTCCGAGTTTCATCTTAAGTGGGGTCAGGGAACCAGACTACAAGAACATGATAAGTTTTCTTGGTTTTTCCAGCATCTACAAGCCCAAAACGTGAAACAAGTCAGTTGAACAATATTTGCTATAACATACTTATCCTCCAAAATCCATATATTTCTGAAAATTGAAGCAAAAGCAAATGATGTACATTCCCTTTAAATGTTGGCTCCTTGACTCTCGAAAGTACAGATGGTATTGGCCGACGACAACTTCTCCACCATCGTGGTTGCCGTCGAGGAAGGCCGGGCCATCTACAACAACATGAAACAGTTCATCCGTTACCTCATCTCTTCAAATATTGGTGAAGTTGTCAGGTAGAAAAAAAAACCCAATAAGCTCATCCCACTATCATCATAGTTTGTTACTAAGCGACCTGCTTTGTCTTCCTACAGAAGATCTTTCATCCCAGTCCCGTTACATTCTTCATTACATCACACTTCTCTCTACTTAAAGCTACAGTCCATCATTTGTAATTTGTGCATTTTGTTCGTTTGAAGCAACAAAAGTGCTCAAAATCTAAAGAAAGGTACTGAACAACTAACCTAATGAAGTTTCAGCTCAGCTTCAGCTGTATATTCCGAGAAAAACAGCATTCTAGGATCTCAATTTCAAATCAAAAATTGCTGAATCATGTTTTGAATTGCGCCTGAATTTAGCGTCCGAGACACGTTCTCGCTGAGCCGATTGCAGCTACGAGATGTTGCGCAGCGATCCGACGAATTATAGCAGCGGCGTGTGCGTCGTGCCAATGATTGCGCGCGCTTCGCCGAATAACAAAACGAACTACTAATTTAAATTTTCCTACGGTGCGTCTTAAGAAGCACCGTTGGAAAGGCCTTCTTTCGTTGATTACTTCAAAATGACAGCTTGCCAGAGAGAATAATTTCACAGGGAGTTTAGTCCCCTTACTATCTTTCAACCAAGTATGTTTTTCAACAATAATTACGCCAGCTACTTTTCGGATAGCTGCAAATGATGGACTATAGCTTTAAAGTGACACCAATGCATTCATGAATAGTCATAAATGCTTTTTCATAAACCCGAACAAAATCTTTTGTATAAAAGGCATCATTATTTGTAAGGGACTGAGATATATGACCAAGTTCATTTGCGAATATTCCTTGCAAAGTAGCCACTTCCATTCTTACTAATTTATCCCTAACCTCCAAAAGCTTTTCGTGAGGCACCCTGCCAAATGCAACAAAATGCAACTTGGCTGAAATAAGAACACTGCTAAATGCAACAAATTGCAACAGTGGATTCTGTTGCATTGTGCAGTGAAACCCAGTGCATACCGGCCTTGGCACCATGCAGTTACCCTGCTAAATGCAACCAAATGTAACAGTGGATTCTGTTGGATCGCCTCGGGAATATGAGCAGTTACCCTGCTAAATGCAACAGAGCACGGGGACTTGAGTTGGCTGCTAAATGCAACAGTATGCAACCACTCTTTACCTTGGTTGCTTTCTGTTGCATTTAGCATGGTAAGGGTAAGGGTACTCAGTCAACACAGCTTGGGAGTCTAGGTTGGATTCCTTTAGACCTTTATCATGCTGCCACCATTTCAGTCATGTTCCCTGTATCCAATAACAGTACTGAATGATAACATTTTTTGTGCAAAAAGGAACCAGACTATTTTTCCTTCCAGCATCTGTTGCATTTAGCATGGTAAGGGTAAGGGTACTCAGTCAACACAGCTTGGGAGTCTAGGTTTGATTCCTATAGACCTTTATCGTGCTGCCACTATTTCAGTCATGTTCCCTGTATCCAATAACAGTACTGAATGATAACATTTTTTTGTGCAAAAAGGAACCAGACTATTTTTCATTCCAGTATATGTTGCATTTAGCATGGTTAGGGTAAGGGTACTCAGTCAACACAGCTTGGGAGTCAAGGTTTGATTCCTATAGACCTTTATCATGCTGCCACCATTTCAGTCATGTTCCCTGTATCTAATAACAGTACTGAATGATAATGTTTATTGTGCAAAAATGAACCAGACTATTTTTCCTTCCAGCATCTGTTGCATTTAGCATGGTAAGGGTAAGGGTACTCAGTCAACACAGCTTGGGAGTCAAGGTTTGATTCCTATAGACCTTTATCATGCTGCCACCATTCCAGTCACGTTCCCTGTATTCAATAACAGTACTGAATGATAATGTTTTGTGGTGCAAAAATGAACCAGACTATTTTCCCTTCCAGCCTCGCTTTGGTTCCGTTGATTTGAATGGGAAAAAATCCAAATGGCTGCGACATGATAATGGTCTATTGTGCGACCTTCTAGATCAATCTAAGCACTCTAGACTCAATCTAAGCACGTTTTTTTTTCACAGAAGGATAAACGACTGTTCTGAGCTCTAGTACAAAATGCACTGAGCAGACTCGCCTTAATTGGTATAGACCTGCAAATCTGAAAGCCAGCGCGCAGGGGTCTTTGTTGACGAGTATTCATGGTATTTGCAACCAGTACAGGCCGTTATCATGAGTCTAACCAAGACGCTAATCCGTGTGTGTAGGTTCCGTGATCTAGGCACCATAGTTGACCCCTCTACCTCTATCTTAAATATCTACCACTCTTGTGGTGCAAATCTTGATCTCTTGCGTCCCTCTGGTCTCTCAGCATCTTCCTGACAGCAGCCCTAGGCATGCCTGAGGCTCTGATCCCAGTCCAGCTGCTCTGGGTCAACCTGGTCACCGATGGTCTGCCTGCCACTGCCCTCAGCTTCAACTCCCCCGACATTGACATCATGGACAAGCCCCCACGCAAGGCCAACGAGCCACTCATCAGTGGGCTGCTCTTCTTCAGATACATGGCCATTGGAAGTGAGTATTCTGTTGTTCTTCTTGTTTTTAGCTGCGGGATAGCAGCTCAACAATCCATCATGTCTCTCCGTTGGTTAGTTAGTTAGTAACAAACGTTGGCATTGTCTATTGCTCCTACATATTTTGACCCATTTCAACCAAACTTTGTCAAAAGTATCAGTAGCCCAGCCCCAACATGTCACATGGCCAAACTGGGGTCAAAGGTCGTCATGGGGTCACTGGGGTCAAAAACCTGATTTTTTTTTTACTCAAAACACTACTCCTTCCATACATTACATAGCACAATCACGTGAGTCATGCATGAACACGCATTCGTTGGCCTGCAGCTTCCGAGACATTTCTGATTGAGCTTGTTTTTGTTTGCTCCCTAAGCCCATGGAAACATCTTGAATCGTCCAAAATCCTCCACTGTTATGACTGGTCAGTTCCCAATTGCACATCCCATGTAGTTCAACTTTGGGCGGGTTCGAGTCATCTACAAATCTGTCTCTCTGCAAACATAGGGTCGGATATGTCACTTTGTAGAGAACTGATGTGGATGTTGCAACCGCAAATCTCACTCCAATCTCACTTTTTATTCAACAAAAAATCTAATTATTATCTCCTACGCAAACATACATTCTGTGCCAAATTAAGGGAAAATACAACATTTGCAAACATCGAAAAATAAAACTACCAAATTTTACGAAATACCTTACTAGGATGTTGGTAAATGACATGCTTAAGCATCCTGTAAAATTATGGCACCTGGTGTGAAGCCATTTTCAAGAAAATGGTATATTTGTATACATTTCCAACGCTGGTCGGCCGACCACCGTTGGAAAAACCTAACTATTTTTCAATTACTGCTCCAAATTTACCATTTCTTTTTTTAGTCTAAATTTTGTTTTGCTAGCTATTGGTTCCATGTTCATGAACGGATGCAGGCCAGCTAGACTGGTTCCCTTACCGTACAATTTCCCGGTATTTTTTATCCATTTCATCTTTAGTGGAGTCAGGGAACCAGACTACTTGAATCTTTTTGTTTTTCTTGGTTTTTCCAGCATTTTCGAACACAAAACTTCAAACATGTCAGTGTAACAATATTTGATCTATTATACTAACCCCCCAAATAGTTCATTTCTGAAAATTACAGCAAAAGCCAATGATGTACATTCCCTTTAAGTAGTCCTTTCAGTCAAAATCAATCAAGTGACTGTTTTCAACAGTAAAGCATTCCCGGGACTGTTTAAATAACTTGATACAGCTATGCGTTGACTCTGGGTGAGTGATAAAACAGCTGGGACCACAACTTGCCGGCTTTGTCTGTTGACCCAGTTTGAATAGTCACAGTGCTTGCTATATGATCTGAATCAAATTAGGTTTTGCCCTTCACCGACGTTTTTTTTTAAACACTGTATACTCAGTGTGTTATCTCCCGAGTGAAAGTTGGAAAAAAGAGAGAAAAAAACGTCGGTGAAGGGCAAAACCTAATTTGATTTATATCACCCCGACGCAAAATTCCATCTTATAATACTATATGATCTGACTGCTGGTGACTAGCCTTGATTAAAAGTAAAGCACGGGAAGTGGAAGCCAATTTTGACTGTCTGTGACTGTTTAAATAGCAGGAGGATCAATCCTAGTCACTTTCCCATTGTAGTTTATTTGATGATCTTCTGAAAAAGGACCTGGCAGAAAATTGTCTAGTGTATCAATTCCAAAAAAGGTCAAATTGCTGGAATTGGTGACCAATTTGTCTACAAATTGAAGTCAAATTCAAAGTCAGAATTTTTTTTTTACCCTTCTTCCTGCAATAAGCCATTTGCGAGTAACCTATACCCTTTGGGATTTACATTTGAAAAACGTCTGGTACAATGACTTGCTCAGAATGCTTGGCACATTTTAACTTTGAATTCTCCAGACCAAAGACACTGTTGCTAATCACAAGATTCGGGGCAAGCTCTTGCATAGTTACGTAAGAGACGCTCAGCACCAATACATCGTTCACAATTGGTGAGAATGGCACAAAGACACCAGACCATGCCGGAGCTGGGGGTTGCTAGCATAAGGCTTGCCCCGAATCACGTGATATAGTAACAGTCTCTTTGGTCGGGAGAATGCTAGGTTAAAACGTGCAAAGCATTGTATTAAGTCAGCGTTCCAGATTTTATTCAAATTTACTCGCAAATGGCTTATTGATATGTCCAGGTACATATTCATATCTTAAGACTGCCATACACATCCCTAGTGTGCCCTCACAATATAATGCCAAAAATGTTAACATCGTTTCATTTGAACTAAAATGTAGGATTGATTATGATTCAATCCAATGTTCAATTCTTCTGATATTCCATTGTACAAGACTTCTGAAGGATTTCAAAATAATAATTTATCTGTTTTTTTTCTTTTTCCAGTATACGTCGGTGCTGCTACTGTAGGTGCGTCTGCCTGGTGGTTCATGTATCATGTCAATGGTCCTCGCTTGTCATTCTGGCAGTTGGTAAGTTGCCGGAGTTCCTTCTGTCAAATTAGTCCTTGGAATCAAAAGGTTCCCAATACAGTGGAACGCCGCTATAATGAACATCGCGGGATCTGTAGAAATTGTTCGTATAAATAGCGATTGTTCGGTATTGCGATTTTAAGCTGCTGGTGCTCTGGTACTCTCTTTTCAATAAATAGTGCCCTTCAGAACTTCACCCTGCATGCCCTGGTAGCTACTGAAAGACGACTTTGAACACATGCCGACTATTGAATTATGTTTTGGAGCTAACTACCTACACCTTTGAGCTTACTACATACACCTACAGCAATGGGTGGCTATATTTCCCCTTCTATTCCTTGGGGAAATAATAGCCACTTCACAATCATCTGTTGATAGTTTTGGAACAACAATGTTCGGTACGTTTCGTACACACAAAAATGGAGCCAAGGACGATGTTGGGTATAGCTGAATGTTCGGTGTAGCGGTGTTCGGTATAGCGACGTTCCATTGTACATATAAAACTGCACAGTTTTTCCAATGTAGTGGAATGTCTTGCCAATTGTTAACTCTTTTTACATGTACTTTCTCGACATTTTGGCCAGGATTCTTCTGGAATCCTTTAAAAATCCTTCACTGTGAAGGACCCAAATGGCATATTCTTTGAACTGTAATTTCAAGGGAAGAGCCATGCCCCATGTGAAGTTGTAGTAGCTGAGCTCTACCTTACTTGTACTTGGTTGGTTCTTCTCCTTAATACTCAGCAAGGGAGTTTTAACAGGAGGCCAGAAACACCGGGGCAAACCCCTTGTCTTTAGCGATAAGTGTTACTTGGTTCTTTTACGTGCATTAGACGACACACGGGACCTACGGCTTTACGTCCCATCCGAAGGACGAAGCAATAATGGTTAAGTGCCTTGCTTAAGGGCACAACTGTCCAGACCCGGGCTTGAACCCACATTCTGCTGCCTCTGAAACACCAGAGGATGAGTCCGGTGCGGTGCTCTTAACCGCTAGGCCATAACACTCCATGACCTTCCTCAATCCTGCAAAGTCTTAACAAAATCTCCAGGTGGAAGAAGGAATTCTCCCCAGGCAGCCAGCCAGCATCCACATCCCTTCTGCCTTACATTTTTTGTGACCTTTCACTTTTGTTTTATTCCCCCCTTTTCGTTAGACCCATCATTTGCAGTGCCCTCTGGAGCCAGAGAACTTCAAGGGGTTGGACTGCGAGATCTTTGATGATCCGCATCACATGACCATGGCCCTGTCTGTACTAGTCACCATTGAGATGCTGAATGCAATGAATAGGTATGTTCACCTCGCTTTGCTCTGTCCTCAGCTTTTATTTTACTTTTAGTCCCTTGTGGTCTGAAGGAAGTGATATCCCAAAGGGAATGTGCCATGACTTTTTATAAACTTAACATGTGATCGTTTTAGGCCAATGAAAATACAGTATTCAAGACAGTGGTATAACAATGAACAATTGTTATACCAAGGGGTGCATAGTACCCGAGGCGAAGTTACATCTTGCTAATAACTCAGAAAGATAAATGGGTGTAACTTACTGTGTGAGAAATAAATTAAACACTGCGATGTTACCTTTGATAACTGAAGGTTTTCCTGCTGGACATGAGATCTGAGACTGAGCGTTTGATGTAGAAGTTCTCAATGTGCAAAACTAGTGCGCCAGCAGGTTCCACACACGCGGGCAACGCGCGCAGTGAATGCATTGCAATATCACCCTCAGTGTGTGACATGCGTTTTCATAGACCAGACACGTGGCTGTTCTAGACCAATGAAATGACAGTAGCAAAACACACGATATAACAATGTAAATTGTGTCTTTTGTTTAGTCTTTCAAAGCACAGTTTTCTGTTTAGGCAAAGAGTAGCAGTTAAGTTGAAATTTGAAAAGTCCCAATTGGGAAAGTTGTAAATCATCATACAGTTTGTAAATCTATTAAAACAAGATTTTCATTGGAAACGCAGTGACATTTTGGTCCTGCACTTACAGATCTCCCCGTTGATACAAATTGATATCTAATGATTGCTGAATATTACACACAAGTCCTGATATTCTGAGCAAATATTTAGACGAATTTGCTTTTCCTTCTCTGGTTGCAGTTTGAGTGAGAACCAATCTCTCCTAGTCATGCCGCCATGGTCCAACATTTGGCTGATTGGTGCCATCATCCTGTCCATGGCTCTTCACTTTGTTATCCTCTACGTCGACATCATGTCTGTAAGTAGTCAATCCAGAATACCCTTCAGCTGTTTCACAGATGATAATCTTATTTTTTGCAGAATTTTGTTCAAAAGCTCAGCTGTACTCCCTTGCTAAGGGAGCAGTCTTCCGATTATGAGAACACATCCATTTAAGAAACCCCAAATCTCAGATGCCTTCTGTTTAGACCTTTTAGTACTGTACAGGATGAGTAAAAAAAAAACCCAAAAAACGAAACCCAAATGGCAAGGCCATTTTTTGAATGAAGTTGTGCCTGTAGCACTTTCAAAATCTAGGATATGAAAGCCCTATCAATGAGCTTTCTTTTAGTACAAGAATCATTCAAATCACTATGTACTTTCCAAATTGTGGAATTTTGAGCACAAACACCATTTTACAGTTCTGTCCATGGATCACAAAAAAGTAAGTGTTCTTTCAGCAAGGATGCATGTGAATTGCTTTCATGTACCAAGTCCATCAAAATCCACCTGAAGTACTGGTGGATTTTTGGTGGATTTTGGCGGATTTGGTTCTGGAGCATTGTGTGAAGCAATTTTAGTGATGGATTTTGGTGGACTTGGTACTGTTCTAAGTAAAACTCAGTAGGGAGTTAGGGCTATAATGTAAAACATGTATCTAAGGGATAAACATTATTAAGGTTAACCTAAATACTTGGCTCCTGCTGTAATAGCCACAAAAGAATCAGTTCTTGTAACTCACCCCTGAGTTGTATTGTAAGCCAGTGATATAAATGACCCTGGTTATTTCCTCTTTCCCTTCTCAGACCGTGTTCCAGATCACGCCCCTGGACTTCACCGAGTGGATGGCCGTCCTGAAGATCTCCTTCCCAGTCATCCTCTTAGATGAGATGCTCAAGTTTGTGGCCCGCCGCACCAATGACGGTAAAAGCTATTCCGTTGGCCTGCACGGGCTGGTGGCCGGTGTGGCCATTGCCCTTGCTGTCCTCTACCTCCTCCCCATGTGAATAAAAAGGGGTCTCTTTTACTCCTCTCATACAACTTTTTTGGATCTAATTTATTCAGTTTTTGTTTTAAATTTTACATTGTCTGTTTTTCCTTCTTGTATGTGCTCTCTTGCTGCTGCGCAACAATCACACAAATTATTACTCACACTTTTACTTTTTTTGTTTTCAATTTATTTTGTTTTTTGAGTTGGGGTTGTGTGAGGGTGGTTAACACGTGAGGATGTGCCTGGTTTGTTTTTGTGCCTGAGACGAGTTGTGGTAAGAGGGCAGTCCTGTTTAGCAGGAAAACTGGATTTGACAAAAACCTGATGATTTGGCATTAATTTTATTAAGGTTACATGAAATATTTTGAGTTGATGCAAAATTAGTGAGGGGAAGCAACTCAAAAGTGCTTTAAAAAAATAAAAAAAAAATATAAAATAAATTCCTGTGATAAGTTTGCACAAGACTTAAATGGGTTGAAATGGAAGCGCTTTTCTGTATAAACCACCCTCCCCCTAAAAAAAACCCATAAAAAAACCCCAAGACCTACTGCCTCTTACCAAGACAAACCTTTGTTGTGCACTTTTAATTCGCTGGAATCATTTGCATGAGGGTGGTAATTTGTGTATTCAATCTGAGTTGGTAAACTTACATGGCAGCCATTTTGTTTTTCTCACCCAGTAGACAGAGCACCTAATCATGTTATCATGTGGCTTTGACTGTGTAAGACAGGGTGATAGATTTGGTGAATTAGAACTTTGTGCTAATGAACACGAAACTTATTATGCAATATGAAGAATAATTGATGAGCCAGTTTTGACTCTTGGAACAAACGTCTGCTCTCATTTTAGCTGTTGAAATGTGTAAAACAAAAGCGTAATTCTATTGAAATTCTCAGACGCTGTTTGAAGCTTGTGCTGATTTTGTCACTGCCATAGTTTATCGAGCACAGTTCTGCTTGCAGCAACACCATATCAGTTTCTTTCAAAAGGATATGTTATGAATTTGATTATTTGGTCTAGTACCCCGCCTTACACAGTCTATTCACCTCACTGGCACTCAACACAGCACGGTAGCCATTCTTGTACTTACACTGCATTCCTTTTGTTGCACTGTGCGTTCTTTTAGTTGTAGGCACGGAACGTTGAGTAAAGCTCCAATAACTATTGATGTTGAAGTTCATTCGAGTTCACCGAGTTTCGGTCCGTGTTTCAGTAGTTTCTGTCCACCTCTGTTGTAGACGAACTTTCACGAGCTACAGCTAAAAAATAAAAACACCTAAAAAGTCACAGTTCGAAAGATATTCTTGTTATTAGATAAAATACACGGGGAAATTTTGTTATCTCAAAAATGTCATTGCTACTCGCTGCATCATAATTGTATTTGTAGGATGTTTGGGTTGTACATGTTTATGTTAATGTTGGATATATACATATGTAACATTTTATATGAAAACAGTAATTTTAGTATTTATGCATCATACGGGGAATTAACGAAGGCACTAGAACTAGGTACGACCGAATAACGGTAGGTTTATGTTTGTACATGAGTTCACACAAATCTTAGATTATTTAGAAATGCACGCTGTGTGACTCTTTTTGTCGGAATGGTTTCTTGATGCTAGATTTTGTTCAAATCGAAACTTTCTGTGGGGGTTTGGATGCTCTAAGTTTGAATTGACTTTGTACACGAGGTGCCCTGAGCACTTTAAAAATTACTTTCAAACAAGAAAGCATTTATAAGTCATGCTTTTTCAAATTGTTTTTTTTTTGTCCTCTTTTTTTAAAGTGTTGCGTGAAGCAATTTTGCAGCCCATCCCTGAACTATTTAATAATTTTTTTATTTCTCCGAATTACTGTTACCCGCCTGTTTCCATTTTTCAAGTTTTTTTTTTACAGTTTGAAGCATAATTTTAGAAACTTTTTCAAAGGGATTTGGGAAAATTTGCAGACTTGGATTTAAAGGAGTGAAAAACATTAATACATTAAAGAAATACATTAAAAATACCCAGGCTAATTAAACTTGAAACTATATTTTCAAAGGTCTACAGATAAACAGGTATTTGTTATTTATTACTAATATTGTATCATTTATTTGTTCAGTTCTTTCCATGCGGTTTTATTAACACGATGTAAAAATATGTAAATGTCCATGTCCACTTTGTCAAATACAACAGGATAGTATCTTTGCCGGATTGCGAAACAAAATCTATCGATTCATTCTAAATTCCCCTCTGGAAGATGAGAGGCAAAGTTTAGAAAAGGGTTTGTAATTTTTAACTTGAATGAAAATTGAAATGAATTTTTTGTCCCAGTCCAGGACCCTACATAGTTGTGAATTTTGTTGAGTCGTACGGTATTAACCGCGAAAAAAAGTTTTGTTTGTGATGTCGTGATTGCAATTGATTTTTATTGAGAATAAACAGATTGAATGTTTTTATGTACCTGAAACAAAACCTTCTCGTTCTAACCATGTTGTACAATTGTCAGTGCCATGTCCAGCTGATAACACATCGTTGTTTGAAAAAAAACAAAAAAACTTCATCTTAGCATTTGCAAGATGAAGGAAAACTAACGCGCAGTCAGTCAGGTCTTTTGCAGTTTCGCGTTTCAAATATGGCGCGTAGAGATCACCACCCTCCCACGAAGGTCGCATTTACTGTGGAGATTAACTTTAACAAGACAAATTAATCCATCCAAGGGAGCTTTAACATGATTAGCAGACAGGCCAAACAGTAGCGTAGACTTCACACCAGATAATCACCATTAATCCACAATAGAACTTTAATAGTAACATGTCGCAGCTATTTGAGTATTTGTAATGTACGTTGACACTCACAACGCCAACGAGACTTGGTAGAAATATCAAGCTACATGGAGAGAGTGTGTTTAACATTGTACCTGATGAACACATCCCCATAGAGAGTATTCTTGCCCCAAAATGTGTTGTCCTCTGATTTCACGCTGATCAAGTGGACTCAATTTCGTGTCTGAAGAGATACTTTGTTGTGACATTTCTCAGAGTGAACTACATGGTGAATCCAAAAAAGCGGAACCCAAACCCCAATATGCAGCACCAAAAACAAGAATAACTGGAAAGCCAATTTCAGAAACTACTTTTAGATAAAAAAAATACTGAAATTGCTCAATCCGTTCAAAGAATATCACCATTTAAACGCAATGACCCTAAAACCTGTTTCGTCGAGAGAAAAAAAAAGCAATTTATTGTATGTTCTGACTGTTTGGAACAACACAGAAAATGACTCCGAATATTTGTTTCAACAACTGTCACCAACTGTAGTACACAATATCTTTATTAACAACCCTGCTTAGGCAAACGTATGAGTTATAAACTCCCTTTTTTCCCAAAGACGGGCCTTCAAAAGGCTTTTGTTGAATATTTTTAACTTTTAAACTGAGGTTTTATCGATGGTGATGTTTGAAGACAATTTTGACGACAATTCTTGAAATCGCATTTTTGGATGAAAGAGGTTTTAGGATCATTGTGTTTAAATGGTGATAAACTTCAAACAGCATTGGGCAATTTAAGTAATTTTGTTCATCTAAAAGTAGTTTAAGAAATTTGCTTTCAAGTCATTATTGTTGGTGCTTCGCATTTGTTTTAAATATGAAATATATTTTCTGAGGTTAGGGTTCCCCTTTTTTTGACTCGCCCTGTACGACCAAGAAACTCTCACAGAACAAACTCTTCTGGTTCTCTTGCAAACTGTCCTACTGATGTTCCCCACGCCCCCGATTCTGCATTTTCATTGGTTGCGACCATCAGTGTTTGACAAAGGTCCAAACATTTACACAACCAGCTTTATTTTGCGAAACCGTTTGCGTTACGAGCAGCCTCTTCCAAAGTGACATTTTTGCTTATAGTACAACCACGAAGTAACAACTTCATTGTTCAACATGTAATCATCCACAACACATTCACTTTTAGAAACATTAATACACGACGTAACATTTTAGAGTCAGTAACACATATATTTAACCTCAGCAAACCTTTGGGTAATGCTAGCGTTTAGTTACAAACACATCGTGCGTCCTTTGAACGAGCTCCTCGCAAAAGAACCTTAAAATCTGACAGTGCTTGGCTGCCTTGTGGTTGATTTCGACACAGCTATAGAGCTGTCAGTCGTCTCCACAGAGTTTAGAGACAGGTCTGGGTACCCGTGCCCATGCGTCATTGTGTTCCTAATTCACTGAAGTTGCGAAAATAAATGAATGTACCCTTTTGAGTCCTTGCAGTGAAATGAGCTTGCGGACAGGCACAAATCGTTGAGAAATTGAGTGATGTACATGATAACAGCGACAAAGCCGTATACAATTAAACACTCAATTGTTGATAACCACTTTTATACCAGGGATGTCGGTATAAACGTAACCCCAAAAAGCAGCAGTTGCAGTGATCGGCCGTACCCACACAACCACGTACATTTCCACATTTCATTACAACTTTTCCTTTCCTTCCGATACCAGCCCACGCACCAGTACTGTTACAGAATCAACATTGTAGACAGACGTCCATGCATGATATCCATCTACTAGAGAAACAGGCTGTTACCATTTGTTTTTTTGCATATGATAAACAAGCTTTTTAGTTTTGCATGCTGAATTAATATACACGTCAAATGCATGCTTCGATTAACTGGGCTTTTTTTTTAATTTTCACTGCACGCTTTGCATTGCATGTGGTATTATTTTTTAACTAAAGCCTAAAATTTCCTAATCTGCAATCTCAATATCCAGTGTGACTGTCGTCGATTCTTTTGTTTAGTTTCAATTCAAATTTCAGCAAGGAAAAATATTCCAACCAAATGTACACGTACAAAAGGAGGACAAATCGCAGCCGCATGTTTATATCCACAATACATTACTTTCGAGCCGAGCATTTATTTTGCTACAAACCTGTTTCTAATTGCTACTCTTCTGAAACCTATTCGCAGAATTTTTTCATCCGAAGCTAACGATTATAGTGTTTGCAATTGGTCTTGAAGCATTTCCTTGTAGCATATATTTTCCTGAAGTCCATTCTTCGCCTCGACGTTTCGCTTTTCAGTTGATGACTATTGGCTTTAAATGAGCATTCCAATTTATATATTGATTTTGTTGATTTTGTGCATTGTTCCACTGGAATATTCTGTTTCGCTTGATGTATTTGCACAACAGAGATTGAATTTTCATCTTTGATATTTGTGGCATTGGTGTGACACACCAGCCATACTTTTAAACAGCCCGAAGGTAGCGCTAGGACGAATTGTGACAATGCTTATTTTATGTCCAATTATTATTTTTCCCTGCAAAACCTAATGCAACACCGCTACAAAAATTGGTAATCTTTCACCCAATAATTGGTCCCCTTATTGACGTTACACTCATACTCCAGCACGTATACCCACCTTTTTCGTTAAACTTGAAACCTTCGCACCACGTACTCTTTTCCCGCCATCACCGTTGCCACACCTGTAACAACCCCTCCCTTGAAAGCATTCCGGAATGCCGTCCAAAAAAGCATGGAATCCCAATCGGAACTTTGTTTTCCGCTTGTTTCCCCCAAACGGTGGCGAGTGCTGCATTGAATTTGGCGGTCTTGTTTCGAACCTTCTTACTTTGAAAAATTCTCGGGTTTATCATAATGCGGGCCTTCATGCTGAAGCGAAGTAACAGTTTTTGGTCATGCTGCAAATTGATGGCGATGCCCAAAATGCAATCAAACGAACTCATTTCCTATCCCTGATGAAGGCCCGAGTGTACAATGTAATACTTTTGAACAGTAGGTGCCTTCCAACATAAGCTCCTGCAAAAAAGGGCTCTAGTACAGACTATACACATTCAACTTTTAAGTGGGTTGGTTTTTAACCATGACTGGCACGCTTCAAATTCCTTGAGCGACGTATTCACACGAAACGCACTTGGATCATGAATTTCAGACCAAAGGGTTTACGGAACCGTCCCAGTGTAAATGGCTAACAAAAATCCAGTAAAGGCGAATTGGATTTGTGAGTGCAGAACCAAACGGACTTTTGTGAGGAATAAGTGGGTCATCTAAACCAACATAACACAACTGGAACTGGGCATTTACTACACTTACAACACGCGAACGCTTGCTGCATGCAGACTTTGCGGCCACCATATTCACCACATCGGCGGGCAGGCCTCGTGAATTTGTGATCTGGTGAGCAGCTAAATCAAAATGTTTCTTAGCAAAACTACGTGCTAAGCGAAAAACAGCAGAAACCTTTTCACGAATACTACCACAAAGCCCGTTGGCTGGTGATCTGCTTTTGCCGATCTTTGCCGAACTTTGCCGATCTTAGCAAAATTGCGCAATGCAGTTCATTTTAAACAAATGGACTATGAAATTGCTGCAGAAATTAAATGGCGGACTAGGCCATATCCGTAGCCAAATCCGTAACTGAAGATACGCCGTGTTCGGATCCCTCACTGGTGGTAATGCTTCGGTTTTTGCCATTGGCGTGTTATGAGTATTCGAAGCAGTAGACAAAAAGTGCGGTTTCGGATTCGCCTGTAGCCTGCGTGCTTGATAAATGGACGGATTAGTCTGCTGCCACCAAGCGACCAGTTATGGGTCAATTGGGGTTCCGGTGAATTCCGGCGATTATGTTACCGCGTGAGGGTAATGCATGTTATTCCTGGCTTTATATAAACAGCCTCGGCGCCGCACAGTAAGACTGACTGATTGCTGACTACTATCGCCAACCAGACCTTGGATACAAGATACCATGCTCAGGGAGCTCGTTCAAGACACCATGCACCACAGGGAGCTAATACGTCATCACCTCTGAACATTAAGTGGACTCATCAACCTGTAACATCTGTCCTCGGCGAACCAGCTAAATCCACTGGTATTTTGCTATCCATAACGAGGTCGTCTTTGGGTGACGTCACTGTGAGGTCATCCAGCGATCACAGAAGGTGCCTTTTTTAATCTAGGAGAGGTGAATTTCTATACGCAGCCGTGTGGGATATCAATATATGGTATGTTTGATTGTAACAGTAGAAAGCCTCGTTTTTCTTTTTTCATTCACCTTTTTTTGTATCGTATAAGACCGTAGTGTGTGGTTGGGGATATGTACAGTGTGTTTTTGAAACATTGTACACTGCCCTTCATTAATACAGACTTAAAGTTTTTATTAAATTGATCACATGTGGGTGGGTGCTAATTCATTCTCGTAGTTGAAAGAATACTAACAATGTTCACAGTGAATTTTTATATTGCTAGGGCTAGTTTGTGCCCAAAAAGGAACAGTATCAAAAACCATTTTCTTTATTCTTTTTCTTAAACGCATTTTGAAACTCGCATTTTTGTGTGGGGAGTGTGCCATGCAATCACACATTGTGTGGCGGCAAGTTAAGTTTAGTCTGTGTGACTTCAACACGATTGATAATTAGAGAGCAGATAAAAACGGGACATTTGCGTAGAATA